ACTGTCATCAACCCTCCTTGAAACTTTTCCAATGACCAGTTCGAAAGTTTATGAAGGTTTATCCAGTACTATTTTGGCTTCTGAAATAAGATCTTCTATAACGCTGTCTTCAACGGCTACCTTTAGCTTACCTACATTTTACACATTCAGTTCTAATCAGTACGTCTCTAGCTTTCGACCATCTTCATTAACAGCATCGACTGCAGCCAACATCAACACTTACGAAAGCTTGGCTTTCGCTTCGAACATTGCAAAGTCAGTGGAATCCATTAATACTCCATTTATTCCACAAAGTGAAGAATCCACGCAATTATTATCCAATATCATCACGTTATCCTTTCCTTCGTTCAGCATAGGCCATGTTACTTCATTCTATCCTCCTACGAGTAATTCGCCAACTCCTACTTCTGCTTTGGTTAACACTACCTTGCAGAGTTTATTAGACAGCATGCACACCTTGACATCAAGTTCTTCTGATATCAATGTAGCATCATCAGTTATTCCTAAACCTATAGCTAGCAGTTTAGACACTATCTCTCTGATTTTTAAGATAGACAATACGACTGGTAGCCTAATGGATTCGTATACTCCCTCTTATTCTCCAACATCATCTATCAATATCTTGCCCATATCGGCGAATCGATCATCCGCAGCATCGACTACCATTTCAGCTGATGTTGAAATATCGAGCTCCATCATCAGTATAGATAAATCCCCTTCTGGGTTAATAACTACTAAAAATTTAGCGTCTTTACCTTTATTATCTGGCTCAACAGCAGGAATGATTAGCTCTAAACTATTTACTACCGATATTCTATCCTATACGAACAATTCCACTTCAAGCATCCAAGTAGAAATATCTGCATCCAAGCCAATTTTAATTGCAACAAATCCTCTTACTAGCGGTATAAATAATTATAATCCAAGTCCAACAACCTTACTTACAACAACGTCTTCGGCTGTGTTTTCCGCTACGCCAACAATTAATCCTTGCCAAAGTAATCCTTGTAAACCGTTTGCAGTTTGTTATCCGCAACAATCTTTACCTAGCCAGTACTTCTGTCGATGTAGAGTAGGCTATTACCAGCTAAATCCGAACATTTTCTTAACAAGCAGCCAAGGATGTTTAGGTATCGTGATTGGAGTAATTCTGCATTATAGATAGTTACCTGGGGCTATAAATTGATTGCCTTGCCATACGTCTTGAAGAGCGTAGATTCTCCATTTATCGTTTCATAATGAATAATTTTTCGTGCTTGTGTACAAACTGAAAATTTTTACCGTCGTTATTTCAATCGTGTACTACGATGGCATTTTAAATTATTGTAATCGTATGTGAAAAATCTGAGGCTAAATATATCAATCTACAACTAAACAGTTTAAAATAGCGATTGATATGCTTTGTATTTTATCCACGGAATTGTAGAAGGAATCTATTTTTCTGGTCTGTTAACTCTCGATGCAGCTTTTTTCCCGTCGTTAAATGATGCCACTAGCCAAAAAGGACAACAAATTAAACATGAAAGCAAATTACTGGTATCGCCCTTTATTCGCACTAACGATAGTACCTTATCCAATCTATTAAACTACTGACATCTTTAACTGATCATTTTCATGTTGTCCTTAGATGGAAGAAGCAATACGAAATAGCGCAGTGACTGCTAGCAACTTTATCTATATTTTCATTGTTGGCCTTAGGTAAGGAAATCATGTTAAGTAATCCTTAATAGATAAAGCAAGCATGAGTAAAGGAATGGGAATCAGGCAATTATTTCTTACACATTACAGCAATCTACAAAGCTGTTTGCATTTTAAAATGGCTTTTACTTTAACCAATAGCGAATGATATTTGCAGTATATCCAGTACAAGTAATTAATAAATTAATAACTGTGTTTATATTATAGATCTGGAAGCATTCTGGTCGATTTTTATGCTATCTATGATAGTAACGCGACAGTCAATGAAATCATTCTTGAAACAACTATTAAACAACATGTACGATTCGTGGATAATTTTGTAGTTCAAACTGTTAATATGACAGGTAGGACAACTCGCTTTACATGTAATATTAGATATATCCGTTAAGTCTAACTCAGATATTACCATGGAAAATTAGAAACAAATGAATGCTTAGACGATAATGATCCCTGCTCTGGTGAAGAAAAGCTATGCATCGATTTAGAATATGGGTTTAAATGTGAAAACTGTCCTGTCGGCTTTCTATTTAATTCATCTAGCAAAGGGTGTTCAGGTAATTATTGCATACTATTCAATTTACAGTTTGCCATTAAATAGCCCTAGTGAGAGTATAGTCTTAGTTTTGACAAATCAACATTTATCAAATGCGAGAAATTATGTTTTAATAGAGTTAAAGCAGATTCATATCATTTATGCTGGTACTTGATCGATAATATGTACTAATGGATGAAAATACTATCTAGTGCTGCCTAAAATTTGGCTAATAGCAATAATCATTATTCCCGTACTAGACATCAACGAATGTATTGGCGGCACCAATCCTTGCAATAGCAATAAGAAATGTGTTAATACCAATGGAAGTTATGCATGCCGGCCGGAATCAACTACTAAACCACCTCTCGGTATTTGCCTCTTAGAGATTACATCAATAAAACTTAGAAATGTCTAAAAGTTCTAAATAGTTATTAATAAGCACACGTCAGTATCTAGGTCGACTAATCTTTTCCTTTTACATTTTGTAGTGACTTGTAGTCCTTCCCATTGCAAAAATGGCGGAATTTGTAGTTTTAATACTTCTTCAAATGTCACCTTTTGCAGGTAAGTTTCATACTCACTGATTATATATTAGAATGCTATATTAACCATTACGTTAAATAAAATAGAGGAACAGAATTGTTAAAATTACGGACTGTTGATCATTATTTCATAATGTATAGCAATCGAATTTTTATATTTAGTATCACTAGAGATACTATAATAGGAATGTAATAAAATCGATTTTAATTTTCTGTTTGCAATCTTTTTCAGATGTACAGCCTTCCATTCTGGTTCTCAGTGCCAAAATTTAAGCTGTAAGATTATTTTTATTGTACAGTACATAATTATTGGTATTCTTCTAAATTGATTATCATTTTTTAATTAGCGATCAGTATTATTATTATCACCCTTGGAATAGGAATATCTTCCGTTTTTGTTGTCATCATCGTGGTAATAATCTATTTTCGGAGTCAAAGGTAATAATCAAAGCAACTTTTAATGTTTCATGATAATAAATTTTATTGTAGCTACTTTCATGCACAACTGCTTCTTTATCTTTGGAACGTGAAAAAGCTGCATATGTGAGCTGCCGCTATAGTATTAAAATCATAGACAATGATGCAAATTTCGTAATAGTAAACGTAATATATCAATTCATCTGTTGCATTTCATGCTTATTACCAATTACTTACTTTATGTTTAAATATGTTACATCACCCTAAATTTTCTTGAATCAAAATCTTTTTAAAAGAAAAAGGTCAAACTTAAATATTGAACAACTAGCTGGAAGTTCTGATCAAAGCAGTGAAGCAATTGACTTGGAAAGCAGTAAATTGGAACCTATTCCTTCTAGACCTTACACCGGCCGTCTTGGTGGAGAGGATACTGTAGTAATTTACGATGAATAGTGGCCTAAAATTGGAATCAGTTTCGGGAGAAAGTACTTGCTAGTATAAAGACTTCGTATTAATTAATTGTATATAAAGTTGCACTATAATTTTGCTAAATTAGCATTTCAATGATAAAGCATAGAAAAATGACTTGTAAGGAAAAATTCTCTACTTAAAGTAATGACTTTTTAGGCAAGATACGTATAATTCTATCCTATATATCATAAAATAATTTTATCCAAGTATGTTTATGTGTACTTTTCAGTGCATACTATAAATAGAATAGACAAATATAGAATACACGAGTATTACGAGCGATGGGTGAACTAGTCAAGAAATAAATTATTTTTGAACAAATAAAATTATGAACGAAATAGATTACTCTTCAATTGTATCTTGATTATTAATTGTATCAACTTTATAGTGTTATCTAATATTCTTTATCTTATGTTGTGTTAGTCCTTGGAATTAGCACAAGAGCCCTAGCCTTTCGAATTTAAATTTCACTAAGCAAAGGTTCAATTACAATTTCTAGATGATATCTAAACAAACTGACATTAAATTTTGAGGTTCAATATACTAATTTTATATCGATCTACTGTTTATTATGGACTTTTTAAAGATAATCTTAATTAATCTAAATTTTAAATTCAACGGGCCTTTATTTATACGATACTACCTATTAACAGAGATAGACTAAAAATAACGGTAATATATTTTTGGGCAATAATTTCATAAATGGCTTGTATATTTTAATAACAATATTTCAAATTTTTATTTTGTTGTATTATGATGCTAATACTAAACTTATCAATCTTAATATGCTGTATTTTTGAAACTCATTAATAAAATGGTATAAGAAAAAATATCCAGAAAGACTAATAATCTATTTGATTTCTTTAAAACTTGTTACCTTCATGAATTGTCATGGTGACTGGTAAATATTATTACGCGATATAAACAAATAAATCTGCAATTCTACGATTGCATGTTGCGATAGATGCTATTCAATGGTGTTTGCACGTACTGTATAAGTGCTTATAATTGATAATACGATTTCAATATAAGGATGGGCTTTAGTTTTATATTCTGCTATAAAGTCATTGAATGCAGTGAGCATGCATGCAAGATAGAAAAATATACGTGCAAGAGTTAATGTTTTTGCAGCGATAGTACAGCTCCAAAATTAGCTTACAACTAAAGTTATAGGATTGTACGAAAATAAATGAATTAAACGTTTTATCGTAAGATGTTTAGTATCTGTTTGTAGGAGGTGATTATAGTAAATATACTGACATGTTCATGTTAGGATTCTGAGACATAAATTAATTGCATAAAGTATGTGAGAATTGTAAGACTTTTATTATCACATTTTAATTAGAAACGCGAATTTGAATTGGGGGCACTAGTAACTTCGATATGCTGATTGCAGCTAGATCGTCCTTGAAAGTTGTACGACAAACCTAATTTACGAGTGCATAATGTATTGAAGTTAACAAGAAAATAATAGTTCTTGTTTCATTATTTGAAGTTGCTTTATCACAAGCAATCTTAACTCTCAGAAAAATACTCCAAGAAGAAAAAAATTATAGAATCAGTAAGCTTCATAAGAACAAACAGCAATGTACTTATGGTAAGGAAGTGCAATTAAAACGTGTATTCTATCAGCAGAGCAGCTAAGTACTTGTTATGCACTGCTTGCTTCGGATACAGAACAAATTATATCCGCATTCCAAATTCTATGGAATAGCACCGAACTATAGCTCTTGCTTATTTCGACTATCTTCCTGTGGATTATGTGTATTTGCTGATTCAAAATTGCATTGAAAACTTTTCACCAGCGAAGGTAAAAGCTTATTCCAAAAGTTCCTTGCAGCTGGTATAAAATTCCCTTCTACTTGTAAATCTTTTCTAACTAGGAGATATCTTTCATCACCTTGAGCATAAGGACGCCAATCATCTATATCCATTGGTTTCCTGGTTGTAATATATAATAAAGCACTTGATTAAAATTTATAACATCTTGCTAGATTGCTTCCATGGTTTTTACTGAATTAGATAATTTTCAGAAATTTGCTAGCATAGGACCAATGAGGCATGGACTATCTACTTGATTCAAAGATATCCTGCATTGCTCAATTACATCCATATTTTGACAAGATAATGTTTAGAGATTTGCTGGCACAGGATTAATCAGGTATGGTTTATCTACTTGATTAAAGGATATCCTGCATTGCTCAATTATATCCATATTTTGGCAAAATAATATTTAGAGATTTACTGCCACCGGATTAATCAGGTATGGACTATCTATTTGATTAAAATATATCCTACATGGCTAAATTACATTTTAATTTTTGCTTTACAAAGATAATTTTACGGGATTTGTTGGCACGGAGCTAATCAGGTATGGACTCTCTACTTGATTAAAGTGTATCCTATATTGCTAAATTGCATCTTTTTTTTGCATATTAAGATAATTTTACCGAGGTTTACTAGAACTTGATCATTGAGATATGCACTATCCCTACGCGTATTCACGACTCACTTAAGGATTAAAATTAATTTCTGCACTGGATTTACTTGTTATCGTTACGTCAATTTGCGATCAAATGATGCAGCTAAGCATTTTCATAACATAGCGCTTGTAAGCCATTTTAAGCTGGTGCAACACAGAGAAAGTTTGTATCCAGTTAATTATGCCTATCGTCCAAAATTTGGACAAGAACTGCAAATTGTTAGAGATGTATACTTTTTGAAAACAGAAGTCATAGTATTGTAAGTCGTACATGCTCAAGATGGACTCATATTTCTTCAATCTAGTTTCCTAACGTATCATATCAATTTAATTAAATGTATGAAATATCGTAACATGCAAGCATCTCGAAATGATATAGGATAAACAACGCCTAGCTTTTAGTGTTCTAACGATATACTGTCATAACTGATACCGTTAGTCGATATTGCACACATCTTTTATCGCGATTGGAGATTCTAACTTGACGTTAGCTATTCTTGTCTTCATTCTTGCCGTTTAGATCAAGCTTTAAAATCAAATTAGCTTGTTCTAGCAATGTATCAAACTGCTAATGTCTTACTACTGGCAGTATTGATTTAGATTACTTACTCTCTTCTGGCTAATCCACCCATGATTCCCATCATATGCTTACTCACTTCTACATCATCTTTGGTATACGTATCTTTAATATAAGCTGGATGATGCAATGGATAGCCAAATATATAGGGTACTTCCATTTGATGGATAATTCCTGCGGCAGGTGGAAAATAGGCTGAACCCACTGTAAATTGATCAAATAGCATCATATATGGCGAATAGTTGTGGGTTGCTAATTGACCAGCAAGATAGGCAGCTGGGACTTGAAAAAGTGCATGAGTTGCAAGTCGATCCAATTGACAACGATTTCCAATGGGATTATTAATATCTGTATAATTTGTATATTCATGAACGATGAGAGAATGAAGAGAGTCAGGTATAAAGGGTAATTTTGTAATTTGAACGAAAGATTCCCTAGAAAAACCGGCATTATAGCCAGGGAGCGAGGATGTCATGACAGCACCATCATTTTGCACCGTACTTATAAGTACCTTTTCCATTGGATTGATTAAACCTTTATAGAGAAGGACTTTAGGATCATCAGGTATAAATTGTTTATCCACTGCTGGTCGAAATAGATACGGATCCAGATTTCTTATTTCCAGTTGTGCTGTTTGTAATTCATCTTCACTAAGCTTTCGTAAGCATTCTACGGATTCCTCAACCGAATTTTTGGTATTATTGCATGATGTCTTTGAAAGAAATTTAGTAAATGCCCCATCTAACTGTTCCCATTTGGTATAATATGCATTCATCATCATATTGGTACCACTAAACATAGCCACACTATGGAATAAACCACGACTGACAGGAGAAGTTAAATGATAGGATATTGAAATGGATCCCGCAGAATGCCCACTTAGCAAAACATTATTGGGGTTGCCACCAAAGGAGGCAATATTGGCTAGGACCCATTTCAAGGCTAGAGCTTGATCATAAAATCCTACGTTAGGCTCAATTAAGACTTTATGAGCAGCATTTCGTGCGGCTAGAAATCCAAAAGAACCTAACCGATAGTTGATCAAGACCACAATCACATTCTCATAGCTGGATAATGTTTGTCCATGCCACCATGATCCATCTCCATGCAACAAACTACCACCATGAACCCATACGATGACCGGTAGTTGATCTGAACTTTTTGTTGTAGGCGTAAAAACATCTAGGTAAAGACAATCTTCACTTATTTTCATTTCAGGACCGTTTGGATTACTTCGATCGAAAAACGACGTTGGAGATCGATACTGAGAGCAGGTTGATTTATACTGAAAACATGGAAGAGGTTTTTCCCATTTCGATTCATAAGGGACAGGTCGTTGATAGCGTAGCGAACCGATCGGAGGTTGTGCAAAGGGAATCCCTTTAAAGCTATAGATTGTTTTATCCAAAATTACTTGTTTTTTGCCTTGGATAGGACCATTACTAATATTGATGGTGATGGAATCATCCTTAGTGGCATCTAAATGAACGGCTAAAGATAGCAAGATCATCTTAATGATGATCAGATTACGCAAAAGACAAGCCATATCTTGCACTGCTTATTTCTTCGTCAACGGCAGTATTAGCAAATTGGAATGGTCAACAGGTCCTCTAGCAATATCCGACTGTCGAAGAGCTAGGCGCAATGCATCTCTAAATGATTTTTTTCCCACTTGTTCAATAATTTATAATTAAAATGAAGCATATTGCTTGACCAAACTGCTATCCTAAGGAAATAGTTTATGTACTCAACCATCACGTGTTGATTTAAAATAACAATCATGATAACCTATACTCCCATCACCTTTGCTTTGTTCGTTTATATTAGTATAATTACTCCTTATTTTGAAAGAGGGGATTGGAAAGAAGAGCAAGGGTACTGTTAGTTATGGACAAATCATGATACACCAACCGTATTGGCATTGAAAGCGAATTGGAGTGGCATAAACAACGTCAATAATATAAATTTCTGGATAAACGCTTGACGTGGGAATTTATGCTAATGATGTCTCATAAGCTAGGGCAAAAATGGTCGAGGTTGAAAATGATTTGATGATAATTCATTATTTTACTATTCGCTTAAATCACTATTCTATATTCTGCTTTACTCCTTCTACTTTTAAGTCTTTAAATGGCAGTCTCAAGTCCTAGAGCGATAAGTAGCAACTATACCTTAAAATGTGATCTATTCTATTTGACTTTAATTGCATTCGTATACCTTCCACCACATAAAAGGCCAGCAATCCAAACATACAAACTAGTTTGTAATAACTGCAGGGTGTTAGCAGAAAATCTTGTCTATTCTACATTCTTCTTTTACATGGTTTTACTGTTTGCTTGAATAACTATTCTATATTGTGCTTTACTTCTAATAAGTCCTTGCATAGCAGTTTCAAGTCCTAGTACTAACAAGTAACATCTCTAAATTACAATGGGATCGACGATACCTAAGCTTAGATAGAAAAATAGAAAATTTTTCCTAAGCATTCTAATTTAATTACATCGAAGGCCTCCCACTCCTATAAACGGCCAGAAACTCAAATATACATAACAGTATACTCGTATAATTACTATAGGGTATAAGTAAAAAATCCTGTTGCTTCGCCGATAGTATGCCTGCTTTTTACGTTTGCAAATATCGAATCGACAAGCCTGAAATACTCTGGCGTCTATCGCAACATCTTAGCCAAGAATGGCTACAAATGCCAAAAAAAATTAAACGCATTTCTGTCATAAAGGCCATTCAAAATGAAGTATCTTGTCAACACCATGTATTTGTGGTTACCTTTAGTTCATCTTTTGTAAAATCAGAATGTCGACTTAACTGATCAAAGACTGCTGCTACGGTACAAGGAATAGTTCAAGGTAGGATCAATCATTGTGTGCCGCAAGATTTTGTCCAAAATTTGCAAGCTATACTCCCTGCGGGTAAAAATGCTTTAAGAATAGGAAGGCTAATTTGCAATATTTCTTACTAACAGTGAATCGCACCAACTACTGCGTTGGCATGCATCTAATGCCGTCTAAATCAACATTGATCGCTAAACTAGGCGTTTTCTTTGCACAAAAGGCTTGAATATTTATAGATTTATACGTACAGTAAAATGATTTTAAGCTAAAGTAGAAAACAAAGATGTAAGGTATCACTGAGACTACATTCATGATACAGCGAATAAATTTTTTTAACTGCGAGAAGGGTTTTAATTTCTAGTTTCCTACTGGAAACATGAAATATATTTTTAGTCTTGCAATGACTCCAATGGCGCCATCATAAACCTTGATCAAGGATTGCAGCAGTATGAATGATGGCCAAACCCAATAATTATTTAATACAATTATTGCAATGAATCTCACATCATTCGACATCAGCTTGCAGCTAGAATAAATGGTCGGTAAAAGGAAATATATAACGGTTGATGACCTCCTTGTTGTAAATGGCCAAGTTCAGAAAAGATCATAGTACAGAAGAACTTTGTTTTAATGTTGTACCACGTATCAATTATGAAAACAGCTTTCCAATCGTAGCTTACGACGAGTAGCTCCAATGATCAGCGACAGGACATATTGTCTCCCACATTAAAAGACATTCAGAAATATTTCTTACACTATCGCCTAGGACTTGCATCACTAGCAATGCTATTATATAAAGTATCCAACTAATATTTTAATTTTAGGAGATCAATTGATCTCTCTTGATACATAGATGACAAATATTTTCCTTGTATTACATTGACTTTAAAAGTATTAGCATCAACTAAAATAATGGCGATAGTAGCATTTTTCTCAGATGAATCAGGTGTATCGGATACCCTATTAATTGATATTGATATTGCTATACCATCTATACTTTTCACATAAACCGAAATCTATATATTAAGCCGAAGAAAAATCGCATGATCAAGGCCTCCACTCTGTAATTAATTCGTAATATGCTATCTATAGTAGCTTGTTTAATAAAGTTCAATAGAATTGATATCATGTACATATACATTACAATAGCTGCAATATTTTCAGTAGTAAATTTGTTCATAAAGAGTAAGACGACTTAATACTACTAAAAGATGAGGCAGATTCCAAGTAATTTATTTAATTATATGCAGTTGGTACTAAATGGAAAGTTCATAAATATATCATCCAACAGCTTATAATAGATGAAATGATTAATATGGCCATTAATATGAATATAGAAATATCTTGTAAAATAGTTAACACGAAGAACACTTTTAACGTACTCATTTTACATACATGTCGGCATGGCTATAAGATATTATATCTGTGTCATGATTTAAAATAAGTTAACCTAACAAATACTATTATGTTTGTGTCGTAATTACAAATAAGTCAACTTAGCAAGTACATTATTTCCTTACAAACGAGTATGCGAGTATGTTAATAATTTCAACTTTTAGGTCATTAATTTGCAGTGGTCTAGAATATTCCTGTATCAGGTATGTAGGCTTATTTTAGCTTTGTTTCTCTTTCTTTCTTATTGCATACCAATTAAATACAGAAAAGAAGATAATTATAAAGGATAACATTATTGCAGTATAGAGATAGAAAATATTTTCTTGCTTTAGTCGATCATTTTCCATTTCGAATGCTTTGTTGGACGACTTTAAATCACTTTCACTATACTTCAACAACGAAGGAATGATTTCATTCCAAAACATCGTGGCTGCTGGTATAAAATTTTTCTGGACTTTCAACTCTTTCCCAACTAAGAGGTATTTTTTATCACTGTCGGTATAAGGAGTCCAACCATCAATATCGATTGGTTTTCTAATTATTGTAAAATATAATAAACATGTTTAACATACTTCCAATATTGCTACATGGCACAACAGTATCATTCTTTATCACTGCCTAGATCTGTTATCGAAGTTGGAGTTTTATAGAGAAGCAATAAAGAATCAAAAATGGTGTTAGTGGTATCTTATTGTGGTTCCTAAAACATAAATTATGGTCAGTTAATGCTAAAATGGATTAATTTTAGCATTATTTATTGGATAGTGCATGATTGAATTACAGCAAGGCCGAATTATGATTGAGTAAATTATCAAGCCAAGTTAAAGTATGGATCAAGTTATACTAAATTTCAGTGAGTTCAATAGCTAGATTACTAATAAACTTACGCAACTTTGCGATTGTGATGATTTTGTGAATTTTAATTTCATACTGTTATCCATTTTTATGCTAAAATCGATACTATACGTGTATATGCAATCTCCTATAGCGCTGTAATTTAGACTACCCATTTGACCTTTAGACAGGGTTGTCTATATTTGCTTAATTAAGGTACTGATACAAAGCAATGTCGCTGGTTTTACCATCGCTATTCTATTCGATATGTATCTCCTATATATTCACAAATGCATATATACTGTACATCTTGTATGCTATGCACATTAAAACTAGCCTTATCTTAAGCCAGCTTTATCCAGTCAAGCTGCCCATTTAAAAGAAGTTAGTAAAGGATAATGTATTGCTACGAAGAATGTTATAACATGTCGTCAAAGTGATGAATTATTCATAGCTTAAAACGAATAAATTACGACAATTAAAAATAGCTATTTACCACTTAATCGATGCCGAGACTGTTTAAACTATCAAACTAACTCAAACATAGACTCCACGCAAAATATCACCAGATTGTCTATCGCATTTTAATGTTAAAATAATCGACATATTACCCATTCTTAGCTAAACTGCTCATCATCTTCATCATATGCTTGCTCACTTCCACATCATCTTCTGTATAATTATCTTTAATATAATCGGGTTGATGCAATGGATAACCAAAGATATATGGCACTTCCATCTGATGAATAACTCCAGCATAATGTGGATAATATGCTGAACCAGCAGTAAATTGATCAAACAGAATCATGTACGAGGAATAATTATGCTCTCCTAATTTACTGGCAAGTTCAGCAGCGGGTGCTTGAAAAAATCCTTGAGTTAACATTCGATCGAGTAGATGGCGATTTTGAATGAAATCATTTACTTCCACATTACGAGTATATTCATGGGTGATTAGGGAGCGAATGGTCTCAGGATAGTCACTGTAGATATAGTGAATCATTTTATCCAGTACTTGTCGAGGGATACCATATTCCGAGCCCGGAAGCTCAGCGCTAAATACTGCACCATCATCTTTTACTGTACTTATAAGTATATTATTCATTGGGTTGATCAAACCTTGATCAAGTAGTAGTCTAGGATTATCAAGTATAAATTCAGAACCAACAACAGGTCGAAATGGAAATCTTGACGACTTCATGGCTTCTTCTTGCGCTATTAATAATTCATCATGACTAAGTTGCTTTAAACACTCTACCGATTTTTCAACTGCATCTCTGCTGTTATTGCAAGATGTCTTTGAAAGAAACAAATCAAATTCCCCATCTAACTCTTCCCATCCTTGATGATATGCTTCTTTCATCATATTTGTGCCACTAAATAAAGCCACACTATGAAACAAATCTCGACTCTCTGGAGACATCATATGATATGTTATAGAAAGGGATCCTGCAGAATGGCCACTTAGCACAATGTTTTTCGCGTTACCACCAAAGTAGGCAATATTATTTTGTATCCATTTCAATGCTTGATTTTGATCCCACAAGCTCAAATTGGGTTCAATAATTACTTTATTAGCGGAGTTTCGAGTAGCAAGTAGCCCAAAAGATCCTAAACGATAATTTATCGTAACTACAATCACATTCTCATGACTAGCTAACGTTTGTCCATGCCACCAAGCTCCATTACCATGCAACATGCTTCCACCGTGAATCCACACAATAACTGGTAGATTATCCGATGCTACAAGTGTAGGTGTAAAAACATTAACATAAAGACAATCTTCGCTGAAATTATATTCCGGACCATTTGGATTTGTTCGATCATAAAATGAGGTTGGAGATCGATGTTGAGAACATGATGATTGGTAGTGGAAACACTGGCGTGTTTTTTTCCATTTCGATTTAATTGGCACAGCTCGTTGATAACGTCGTGAACCGATCGGGGGTAGGGCATACGGAATCCCTAGAAAGCTATAAATTGTATTATTAAGAATAGCTTCTTTCTTGCCTTGGATAGGACCATTTGCGATATTGATCGTGGCTGAATCATCGTTATTGGCAGATATCAATACAGCTATAGAGAGCAAACCGGCATTAATGATAATCAGATACCGTAAAACATAAGCCATATCTTATACCAAGAAGACGAAGCATCAATCTATCCTATCCAAAGCATTCGGGCAATAATCATTCGCAAGCCTGAAATTTGGGTTGTAAAATAAAATACAATATTAGTATACAGATATTGTACCCTTGCCAAGACTACTAGTGATACAATATCCGACAATTATCACAACCATTTTGCATAACACAGTACTTAATAGAATGCCATGGATTGAATTTTTCGCCACAGTAGAATGGCTAGCGATACAATATCAAACAATTTTTCTAACCATTTTGCATGACAGAGAACTTAATAGAATTACTTGGATTTAATTAATTTTTAATTTTTATATTAGAATGGTTTATGTACGATATAAGCACGTGCCCATATCATATAATAGCTTTTCTACTAGTTATGCTTTGTTTTTTGATATTAGCATAATTGGACCATACTTTGAGATAAATGATTGAAAAGATTATATTTTAAGTCTAGGGTTAGTAATCTACGTGTAGTAAAACTTTTTTCTGATGAATATTAACGCTGCCTGCAGTAGCATAAGAACAATGAATGAGCAATGATGTCAATGTTTCGGTATGAATGAGACATGATTATATATTAATGAGATTGTTAAATTGGTATAAATATGATTATAGGTTGAGTCCAAAATTGGCTAAGCAATTATTATTTTACTTATAACTACAATTGTACACAATATGAATTTCTCTTCTAATTATAATCATTTAGAAGTAGCTTCGATACTATCGGATATGAATAATTGTAATCATATTATCAAAGATGACAAAACACTGAATAGAATATATCCTCAAAATTCTCTGTATTTGCTAATGGGATTTAATTCATACAGTATTGGCGAAAGGCTACGAGTGGGTTTTGATGATAAATATTAACGTAGCTCATGCAAAAACATAGACTTTATACATACGATATTGCAACAATTGAGTGAATCAATGTTACATTATTGCTCTTCCTATTGTAAATAAAACATTTTATGCAGACATTTAGATTAGACAAGATTAGTCAGAGTCAATGAGACATAAGTACCGTCTACATTGGCTTTGGGGACTAACTTGCTATATAGATTGATTCAAATTTCTTTTAAAAGTAAGTAGCAAATCTTTAGCTGCTACAAAAAATTTTGCCATTCTTATTGCATAGTAATAAAAAGAAATTGAAGCATATAAAATCCATGTAGCGAAATTATTGGCACAGATGATTGATGTAATTCATTTTTTATACCTGTAACTTTTATATACTGCTGGCTTCGAAAATTTCTTAGTTTGAAATTATTCATGTATCAAACATGAATTTAATTTACGATTAAGTTGGTGTTTGACTGATTTTCTGATATGTTTCTGCGGTCAACAAAATTTCATGCTAGCATTTTATTTGTAAATATATCAAACACCAACTTAATTTACAATTTAAGGTTCATATGGGCGACTTTCTGATAAAACAAAAAATTTGTAATCGATAAAATGTCCAGTTTAGATGCCAATTACTATAATAGCACAAATTATGCCGTATCTTTAAAAGGAAATGTAAGTTTTTGCGTTATGCTGCTTGTCTAATTGATTTATGAGTCAATCGCAAATTTACGATTGATTAACTTAAGTTAATCCTGTGATTCACTTAAGTTTCGATAAATCATTAATATCAAACTTTATTTCTAATACCAATTAAAATTCTCTCCGCTTCCGAGAAATAGCAAAAGTATAATGCTCCATTCACTATCTTCTATCATCTATGAATCTCATGGAAGCATCATAATGTAATTTATTTAAAATATTACAAGTAAATGCAAAATTTGAGATTTCTTTATCTCAAATCAATGGCTGTTAGTTCCTGTCCAACAAAAAACTGCCAAACTACGATTGAAAAATAGTTGTACATGCAATTTAATGAACATGCTTTGCCATCCTGAAAGGAATAACTAACTAGCTGTTGTTACTGTATCAAGATTAAAATTTCTTAAAACGGTGAATTTATTCCTGTATAGTAATTACATTTCATGCACTGAATAGACACAATTTATAATGCTAGTATAACAATTTATAATTCAATAGTGAATATTTCTATAATATAGGAAAGTACCGGTACGTACTTGTGACAAATTTCCACTTCTTAACCAGTGATTTGAAAGTTTAATTTTATTCACAAGAGGATAATGATGTAGATTGCCTTTAGTTGGTCTATCAGGAGAACTGGAACCTAAACGGTATCGGCCAAGAAGGTGCTAATATGGTGAAGGTACTGGTATGAATAATCAGTTAACAACTACGATAGATCATGAATATTTATGCATGCATTATTTACATAATGATTACCTTCGCCAGAGATCACTTCAAATAAGCTTTTACTTGTCGAAAAGCGCCACCCGCAGCGGTGGCATGTATCCAATATCATCTAAGTCTAGAGCATTGCAAGATTTGACATGACTCCTGGAGTTAGTATTGATGATGCTAATGATTTAAGTCGGTGCACACAGTATTTACTAGTTGCAAATTTCTTGGCCTACAGCATGAAATTGCAACTATCGAATCTAAAATCTACAGATATTTATAGTTATTAAAACACTAATTTTTATGGCTAGAGAAATTTCCGGCTGCAGGAATAATATAGTCTAGAGATTTTAGTAAATATATTAATAACCTTGTTTCATACTTGCAGAACTATACATTTAAGAGCATCATGTGTGTTTGTGTAAATGTTCCAATCCTTGCTCTTTATAGCTTTATAAATATCATACAGTAAGAGTAATAATTCATTCCTGTGCCATAACCATGCAACTTAAAATAGAATGATTAGTACACTATAGTTATCAAGAATCTGTAAATTGCAGAGTCTAATATCGAAATGATTCTGAATTGAGCGAAATTCACGCAAATAGTCAAAAATGTATAAACCACAGAATTTGGTTCTGTATTACGTTTATTTATCAAACCCTATCTTTCGTAGCCGCCTTTATTGCATAAAGACGTACGCAGATTGTACGCTAAAAAGTAAACGAAGGATAGTTGCGATTCCACTTCGTATCATGAAAACTTTATGTTTTAAGAAAGGAATAAGAAACATACAATGATGTATCCGATTTGATCATTATACGTAATACTGAAGAACAAGTAGCGATAATTATATATGCAAAAGAACCAAGTAAGCCCCAAAAAATACATTTAAAACGTTTAAATAAGTAAAGAGATGAAATTCTTAAAATTTTGCTCTATAGTATCAGAATATGATCGCTAGACGAGAGCTAAGAACGTTTAAATGGTCATCTATGAAAATCACTGTCTAGAATATCAACGCTACTTTGCTAGTGATATGTAGGATAACTATTGAAAAGAATATTTAACATTTCGCGAGAGCTAGATAATAATAACAATGTGCTAACGATTATGGCATCAAGTTCCCTATGAATCTAGAATAAAAATTTTTGGATAAATGAAGTATTTGATAGTTGAATAAATGCTAAATAGAAGTACTAGTTATAAATTGAAAGTAATAACTTGATCATCCATCAAGCCTTATTTCCTTCTTTAATAAATAGCCGATTAAATTTTTAGGCTATTGGTGATTAGTATTACCTTGATATAAATAAAAGTTCAAACAGGCATCCAACACCTTCTTAACAAAGATTGCCAAGATTAAATATCAGCAGAATTTACTTCTAGAAGAGCTGAATGATAGCTCATCTAAATATCTGTATTAGAAGTCCCCTCTTACTGCCTATATGGAGCACCAAGATCTAATTTTATGAAAGGCTTGATACAGTGTAAATTAAAATTTTTACTGAAATCTGTAACTACCTTTATAGTCTGCCATCATTTAAGATAGCAATTAGGCTACCAAAAGGGTATCATCTTATTATTCTCGAAAGCCTACTAGCAATTAATCTTGTTTGTTTTTGTCTTTGTTTAAATACTGAACTAACAAAATAATACTAAATGAAAATGCCAGTGATCCAACAGTAATGTAAAAATAGTTTCTATTTTCCTTTCGTAATTTATCATTTCCCAGTTGACATTTTATGAAAGACATTTGCGCGTCTGAATCACTTCGGTCTATAAGAGATGGAATCACTTTATTCCAAAATGTAGTTGCTTGAGGGAGGTAATTCTTCTCAATTTTCAATGGATTTTTAATATGCAAGTAAGATTTGTTACTGGATGAATAAGGCTGCCAGTCTACATCAACTTCAGGTTTCCTAGATACGTGGACATCACGAAATAAATTTAAAGCGAGAATTGAAATCTATATACATTGATCATGACTGGATTATAAGCAAATTGCCAGGATACTGTACGACTCTATAAATTCTTATATAGCTTATCCATACAGTGGTTGTTATTAAATTTTACGTTCGAGAATCTATTAAATCATTTCATTTGTAAAACTAAAGCGATTTGTAAGTAATGCTATGTAATTACAAAAATCTTATTTCATGCAAAATGAAATTATCAGAACATGCTACTTTTAAACCACATTCTCAATGCCTTAGATATTTCTAATTGAAATCAAGAAAGTAGCACTTAATAAATGAGAAGTAATACTTATTCGTCTTCAAAATGGGCCAGTCAATTGATTTAAAAGTAGGCACTATTTCTATGCATTAGCATTCATTTCCATGGAGTATTGTTGTATTCGCTACTTGGTAAATAAGTCTATCATGTTACCGTAAAGGAAAACTCTCTCATTTGTGTTTCTTTTCTTAATTTACATTCATATCAAAACTAAAGTATTCCTTTAATCCTGTTAGACTACCAGACATAACTACTAAACATCATTAAAGCCATAATACTGACCCATTTCGAGCTAGACCACCAATTATTTTCATCATGTTGATGCTAACTTGCCGATCGTCTTCAGTATAATTATCTTTAACGTAATCTGGATGATGTAGTGGATAACCGTAAATGTAAGGTATCTCCATCTGATGTATAACTCCACTGTAGGATGGATAATAAGCTGATTGTTCTGTCTTTTGATCAAATATAAAGACGAAAGCAGGATAACCTCGTTTAGCTAATTGAATTGCCAATTCATCAACAGGCGCTTGAAACAGTGCTTCTGTTAGAAATTGATCCACCATTTGTCGATTTTTAATCAAGTCATTAGGAAGAGAGTAATCAGTGTAATGATGAACTATAAGGGACCGAATCTCGTCTGGATAACTATGATAGAATCCATAAACCATTTGATTTAATAGTACGCCTGGAAAACCTTGTTCGTAACCTGGTATAGTAGCGCTAAATACAGCACCATCGTTGGCAGTGGTACCAATGATAACGTTGACTGGGTTAAAGGAGCCTTGAGATATTAGAAGGGCTGGATCATCTGGTAGGAAGTAGGAATCAACAATTGGCCTAAAAGGATAAATAGCAGCCATAGATGCTTGATGCTGAGCAGTTAATAGATCTTCAGTGCTCAATTTTTGTAAACATTCGAGAGATTGTTGAGGAGTGAAATGGCTGTCATTGCATGAGGTCTTTGATCGAAAGAGGTCAAAAACACGATTAGAATCGGACCATTTTGTATAATAGACGTCCTTTAACAAGCATGTACCTCCATATAAAGCGGCACTTCGAAATAAACCCCGACTTTGAGGCGATATCATATGATAAGTGGCAGAAATAGAACCCGCAGAATGGCCTGCTATAACAACATTCGTTGGATCGCCTCCAAATGCAGCAATGTTATCGCGTACCCAAGTTAAAGCCAAATGCTGATCTAATAAGCCAATATTAGCATCAATAACTGTATTTCCGTCGGAATCTTGAACTGTTAGGAAGCCAAGTGAACCTAATCGGTAGTTAATACTGACTACCACTACATTCTCTTGAGATGCAAGTGTTTGACCATGCCACCAAGCCGCGTTGCCAACTCTCAAACTACCTCCATGGATCCAGAAAATAACCGGCAATTTATCGGATGATTTTAATGAAGGTGTCATTATATTAAGGTATAGACAGTCTTCATTTAATTGCCAAGAAGGATCATTAGGATCCGTTCTCTCGAAAAATGCAGCCTCCAAGCGCTGCTGAGGACAAGACGCTTGAAATTGGATACTTTCTCGCGTTTTCTCCCATTTAGATTGAATTGGAACAGCTCGCTTGAAACGTCTTGCTCCGATCGGTGGTTCTGCATATGGAACTCCTAAAAACTGATAAATGGTCTTGCCTAAGACGACATCTTCCTTTCCACGGATTAAACCTTTATCGGTTTCAACAACGTTATTATCAGCTAGAACAGGTGTTAAAAGATAGGCTAGAAAGCAAGCTAGGATATTTGTCGCTAAAGATTTAGCCATTACTTCGTTATTTAGCTAAGAATTGGTTGATTTCTTGGTTTCGACGCCTAGTGTGATAAATTAGCATACGGCCACAAGTTACATCCACGACTAGTTGCTGTGCTAATTAAGGACAGATTTAAATAATTAGCAATTATAGAATAGAATTGTGTATCATCAGCGGTTAAGCTCACAGCATTGGAGCTGGTGTTTGAGCATCGTTGTTGCTATGCTAACTAATCTTGCCGACGCCCATCTTATAGCGACTAGGTAAATAATTTAGACTATTAGGCTTGCCGATACATTACTAGTTACTAGATACTAGTTATACCTTGTAGTCGTATTGATTTTACGGCACCTACGGCGTGTTTGTGATATATTATAGTGATATAGTAGTAAGAACTTCTCATGACTTATTCATATAAAGTATCGCAAACATGATATCGATTAGCCTATAAATATATATATATCATATACATAGATAAATATATATACAAATGACGTCAACATCATTTACAGTTCTAGTGTAGCCATTTAGCATCCCAAACAGTTCGTAAAGGTTTCTACTATTTACTGTCTCATACACTGTATTCTTAATATTGAAATAGCAAAGGATTTGAATGAGAGCATCTAGCCAAACCGGTTAACCTGTCAAATTGCTAAAACCGCAAAATCTGATTCGAGATGATATTCATCCGTAGTAATTTATTTTAAGCGGTCCTACCATATGATCATGTATTGCTATCTTCATGTTTACTCTTATTTACGACAATACTAAAAATAGTTCATAATAACATCTAATAACGTCATCCACGAACAAGCTATACCAGATTACATGGCTTACTATAGTATTATCACTGATCTTGCTTTGAATCAACGCTAAAGATTATAAAATATTATCATCTTCTTAAAAATTTTTCAAATATTGTATACGTAGTTGTGTACGAAGTATTTCCTGAGAATTTGTCCTTCGTAATTAGGATGCTTTGTGATCAATACCGATAATTATAAATTTCGATTTACTTAAAAGTTGTCCCAAATATTGTAATTAGACATTTATTAATACTTAAGCTATTCCTGAGAATCTGTCATCGGAAAGGATATCGAAAAAGAATGCTTGAAGATACGAACGCTGATAAATCTCTTTTTCACAATACGGTAGTATCATGCTATGTTTGAAATAACTATACTATGTATTACCCTAGATATTCAGGATGAGAAATATCAAATTATATAAATTTTCTGCCCTAAATTCCATATTTATAGTTTTATCTGTCTATGGATTTAATGCAGATAGGTGCTTCTGCTCAAGCCTAATCATAGACGAAAGGCAAATTGGTAATACTAAATTTGGTACAGAGCTTATTCATCGAAATGTGTAATAAAACTCTAAATAGTCCTATCCTATAACACTTGCCCCATATATTCGTAGATAGTTTTCTTCAACCAATCTATTCCAACTGATATAATAATGCAATAACTACCAAATTTCAGTAACTCATTTTATTATCCTGCATTATGAAAACGACAGATAATTATAAAATGCAGTCTCATTGCTATCCCACGTAAATTCTAACTAATTAAACCAATTAAGGCAACTGTCGTCAAAATATGGCCAAAAATTAGACTTGTAAAATTTTGATATAAAAAACAATTACGCTATAAATATATGCACGTAATGGCACTAACTATAGCAAGGGAAATGTCTTAAAATGAACGATATCATAATTTTTCCATAGGTAAAGTCATTGATTAGTGACTCTTGTATCCTATATGGCAGCATATTGTAGTAATAACTCAATAATTTTAAGGCTAACTGCCAAAAAATAAGTGTAAACAATTAAAGTATGATCAGTAAGAGCCTAAAAGCAAAATTTTCTATCGCTAAGAGCTTTATTTGATTCGATATTTTTAGCTTAACAAGATACATTTATATGTCCAAATTATTTGAGCATATTATTTGGCCTTAGCAAAGCCTAGATATGACAGACAACATTCGAGTTCGAAAAGCGGAGAACTGTAATAATTATACCGCCAAAGATTGAATAATAAGACCAAGTTATTTTAAGATTTCAAATATAAGGCTATTATAAGGCCACAAACTGCTACATAGGAACGAATTAAGCCAGAGTTTACGATCAGGATACATGCTAAGATAGTACTCACTAATTAAGTATCTAATGTAAATAATTATGTCTCTTTCATAAAGTAACTGTTAAGGATCGCGTCGACTTTTATTTATAAACAGGGTTGATAGCTGCTTATGAAATGTTAAATAAAGATTATAGTCTTAACTATTTAAGTCAGAAAATAGTTTCTGCCAATTTTAATTAATCACTATACTTTAGAGCTCGTCCCAACTAGAGTAAAATGCTTAATATTAAAATAAATCTAGTGATCTTATTCCTGGTGATTTTCTAACACTTAAATGCTTGGCTACAATTGCCAATGCATTAAAAGAAATGAACTAAAAATGAAATCCTATTGTACCCTACCAACTATGGGTACAACAACTGCTGGTAATAAGAAATTACCTTATTCGTATATTATTGTTAGTTGGTCAATGTTATTGATATTTATAAATAAACTCTATTACCCTTTAAAATTATCATCAATTGAGGCGTTATGGTTATTCGAATGAATGGTCTATAGTTATTTCAGTATGAAACCACAAATTATCAGTTACCTGTGAACAAAATTTATCGTTTTTATCATGAGATACACTATGTCAAAATAAGATAATCTATTTGTTCAAATACTCTGCCTAATTCAAGTTAAGAAATAAATTGGCTGTCAGTTCGTATACTTCTTACAATAAGCTAACATATACAGAATGATATCAAATCACAACCGTAATAGAACGCTTATTTCTCTCAAAATATCAATTCTACAATAGCTTATCACGGTCTTTTTAAAATATCTTATTGCTTTCTATTCTTAAGACAAAAGTAGTGAAGACCCATGCAAGACTGGAAATTTGTAAGAAACAATTCATCCTTGTGTATCTCCCATTGAGCAAGCGATGGAGATTTTTTAAACTCTTAAGTGGTTGTTTCGTGTTAAATGGAGAAACTAAGAAAATTATTTGTATTTCATTTTAGTACCCAGTTTGCTACTGGCAATTTATTTTTGCTGTATATAGCGATCAACAGTCAACTATTTGATTATTTATGACATAATACGGGCTATTTTAATGTAGATTATTTTTATAAAGCTGGTCTAATATTTCAATAGATGCTTTCCAAGGCTATTTCAACTACTAATTCTTTACCTGGAAAGTATTCTAAAACATCAATACAGGGTGGAGTTTATTGACATTAGCAGAGCTTCGACACAATAGCGATCAGCCAATCCTATAGCAATTCTCTAATTTAGAACAATAAAAATATAACTTATGTTTTGCATGATAGTTTACGCCTAATACATTATTTTCCACATTTCTGCGTAGGAGCCTGACTGCACTATAAGTTAATTAAAACGAGACAACGTGAAGTTATATATAAAAAAGGTTACTGCCTTTATTTCATAGTGTGCCAAGCTATCCCTTCATCCAAGGTTTGCGACCTAAATTGTTGATTTGATAAAACGTATAGAAATTTCGAATAAGTTCTTCAACGCGTCGATCGTTATTTCCTTAACATGAATTATTTGAAATTTTCCATCTCGCTTTATGTGGTAAGTTTATCCTTCAATCGATAATTGGGTTCAATATGAGGATAAAAGATGTCATTTAATGAATTAAAGCTTTATTATATGGATGATGATGATATCATGTTGAAAGTCGATACTTGCCAATCGTAGTCGAGTAGAGTTTCAATTAGAAGAAAACTATCTCAGTTGGATATTATTAACTCTAAACGATACTATTTTCTCTATTCGTCACGTCGTAAAATAGGAATAAATTTATTATAATTATCTTTCGTAGACTAAAATGCCATAAGTAGTCAATTTTCTAAACTAAAACGAACAATTTCCAAGAGTCTTTCAGGGCGTTATTAAGATAGTTTTTATATGAGTATAACTATTTACTATTTTCTCTCCTTTTAATTATGGATATGCATGTTTTTAGACTTTAGAATAGCAGATTAACAGATTATTCTTGGCATTACACCCAAGTAATTTTACACTAATTGAAAGCTGATTTATTTTCAAAGGAAAATTTGATGATTTCAACCTCGTGCCGATAAATGTTGGCTAGTATCATTAGAAATCTTGTTGGAACCATACACTACTTTTAAACACAGCTACAAATGTTAAACTATTTCAAGTCATCAACTTGAACTTTTACTAGCATTATCTTAGTCCAAGAGTCCAACATCGCTATTCCATTGGTTCTTGTACCATGCACTGACATCTTAGCTTACATTATTCATTTCTATTTACTTTAAAAATATTCTACTATACCTTCTATTTATTTTCTGTATGATGTCACGAGATGAAATTAACTAGCATTGCCAATTACTGTTATTTCTTTAACCTGGACAGAAATACTTTCATGACACATTTTGACTGATTACTTTCACTCGATGTGGAAAATCGATTAAAAATCATGATCATTTGGGTCGGTGATACCACTACTATTTCATTTCTTATTTCTACAAAATTCTCACTGGTGTCCGTAATTTAAAAAATTAAAGACATTATACTACAGGGCTAAATCGCAATAGAAATTTATTCCTATTCATCAATCACCCATTCAATTATTTTACAAATTGAATATATAGTATATACTATAGATTTGCCATAAAATGTACCTTTTAGCAAAGTATAAGTTGGCTGGAAAATCACACATTGTAAATTAGTTAAAGGATCATATAATCTATACGTCTTTATTAAATTTTAATTCTGCCATCTAGTAAATAGTAAACAGTAAGTTTGGCTGATTAAGTATGCTTTAGTTTGAAGTAGAATTAGCAACAATAAATATAATTAATTGAATATTCTAGTAGACATTTCTTACTACTATGCTCAGCAGTATTTTATAGCCTCCAATAGTGGATATTTTGTCAATGACTGTAGTCAAATGAATCAGTAAATTAACTGAAACAGCAAAACGCTCAGAGAAAGGAATCATAAGAATTAAACAACTAACATAAAGGGGGGGGGGGTAATCTAAACTCTATGAAGCTGCTAGAAAATTATCTTTGCCAGTCCTAGAACATATCCTCGAACTCTCATATACAGGACTGGCTGTAATCCTGCGTGCTTTATAGGAACTAAATAATTTTAAAATTTTAACGTATCACAACTCGTATAATTTGCCCATTTAGCTAACTTTCTAAATTTAAAGAATTAGCGTATCGTTACCAAATTATGATGAAATTAAAAATGATATTCTTTTCTATTGCGCTTCCTGCTAGGCCTTCATCCTTAGTTTATTTGCCAAAAACGATGTGTTTGCTCAGTTGACTATTTCAGAATTATCGGATCAAATCTTGATAACATCAGTTGACTATTTTGAATCCTCTTTCAGTGGAGGTAAGAAAAAAGAGTAGTGTAATGATCAATTAAATACTCCACCAAATGAAAGCTAGAAGTAACAATAATAGTGCAGATTGAGCAGGCTATTATCCATTTAATTCTAATTAAAGTATTCATTTTATGCTATCCTCATCGGTAAAGCTCCTAGCGCGGTTATCCAATCCTCAGCAGCTTTTGTAACAACTACTTCTGCATTAATTATGACCATTTCATCTACTTTACTTCCCACTTCTAACGTTGTTAGTAGCAAACCATCTGTAGATACCTCGACAAGTTCTCCAATGTCTACTACTACCAGCATTATCCAATCTTCATCAACAGCTTCAGTAGCATCCACAGCAACCTCTTCAGTAGTATCCACAGCAACCTCTTCAGTAGCTGGAACTACCGCTACTAGTATATCAAGTGCTGCTAGTACATCGGCTACATTAGCTACCACTGGAGCAAGCAGTCAAACTCCTATAACACCAACTCCAACCACTAATCCTTGCCTTCGTAATCCTTGTGGGCAAAAAGCGGTTTGTGTACTTAATGCGGCTCTCCAAAGTGGCTATAACTGCCAATGTCGAATAGGCTATTATCAACAAAATTCGACAGCCACTTTACAAAATGACCAAAGTTGCCAAGGTTAGTAAGGAATCTAAGTTATGCTTGAATGGATATATATATAATTCCAGGATATTAATTCCGAATTATAGCAAACACATAGCATACAGTAGCAAAAATTTAACCATTTATCATAATCTTCTAAATACTAAACGCTCATGCACTGTAAGTAAAGCTTCTGCAATGTAGCCTAATAATAAGAGCAGCAACCATTATTTCGTTTTAAATTCAACTGTTAATAATGAATATCTTCTACTTGTTTTCAATTTCTCAACAGCCGCAAAATACTTTACTGGTAATATTTCTATCAATACTGCCTTCAATAACAATCTCAATGATCCTAATAACGTAGAAGGAAAGAAAATTCGAAATCAGGCTAAACTAGAAGTCAGTTAAAAATTCTAGCATTCCATTAATTATAGTTGGATTACTGTATGTCTAGGCCAGATCAAGCAATAAATTAAAATTCATTCTTATTGTTACCCATCTTTCTAGTTGGAAAAAGCCATCAGAAACTCTTCAGACACCGCTCAAAATTTCTTAAGTGTCGTTATCGAAAAGATTAGGTTAGTCAAGTGGCCATAATTAGATATTTTTAGAAGTTCACATATCTTTTAGGAATAGACTATTGCATGATATAACGTAGAGTATTCTAATCTTACATAAACTTGTTTTTCTTAGCCAAAAACCTGGTGGTGGCATTACAATTTCATTTTATGCTGTATATGGTGCCAATGCAGCGGTTCTGCCTGCTGCTATTCAGAGTACCGTGGAAAATAACGTTCAGAGCATTGATAATTATAATGTTACTCAAGTTGCAGCAATAACACGTAAGATCAACTGATAGCTTGCTGGTTAAAATTTTCTATTTTTAGTTAATACAGCGTTGCATCAATTTAAAAACTCATACGATTTTATATACTGTTGCCAAAGTGTTGATACGTATCAAGAGAATAACAAGAGTTATTATGATTTCATATTATAGAAACTAACGAATGTCAACTTGCCAACGATCCATGTTCTGGAGTGATGCAGGAATGTCAAGACACGAATGATGGTTATACTTGTAAAGTCTGCACAACAGAACAGTATTTTAATTCTTCTACAAAGAAATGCACAGGTAATAATGATTGATATAAAGTGCGATGAGTTTAATACTGCTATCATATTTCTCTCTACTTTCTCACTAAAATGCAGAATAGGCTATAATAATAGCTCATCGTTAATATATTCACAAACCTTGTTCAGTCTTTTAATTTACAGAATGAAAGCTTTTACTTATTTGTAAATTAACTATTTTGATTAGCTAAGCCTATAAAGAGTTGTCCCAGTCCATGTCTCAATGGGGGCACTTGCCAGACTTCTCTTTCAGTTCCTACTTGCAGGTAATCCTTTACTCATTTTAGGCTATTATTCATCGAAATTTTAGACTAGAGTGATACTTGGATCATAAGCATTTTTAATTGGGTAGAAAAATATAAAATAGATGTCAATTTGATCTAATTTTCTAGCTGTACTCAATTTTTTACCGGTTCCGCGTGTGAAAGTCTTTCTAGTAAGATCTTTAACATTAAGTTAATGAAAAAATGAATAATGCTGTACACAGAAATCATTTCTGAAACTAAGACTTTCATTGTTTTTAATCTATACCTTCTATAGCTTTAACTATCATTTTAATTACCAGTGGTAGCACCGTCTTGGTCTTGGTTGTCATTGCTCTAGTAGTATGCTTAATTTATAAGAAAAGACAGCGGTAATGCAAAATTAGGAATTTCGTACATTATTTTGTAATAATGAGTTGACATTAATACGATATACAAGTAAAGATTAGTTCTATATTATTATACCTAAAGTTATTTTTAAATTATTCGTCATTCCTGTAGACCTATTAGATCAGGTACGAATTTATACGAAAATTCTGAGGACGGTAAAGGCCACGTTAACAATTACTATGAGATGGCAACAACGGAAGATTACGCAGAAGTGGATGCGGGAGTTCCTAAGCGACCCTATGCCGGCGTGCTTGGTGGAAATCAAACTACCGTCATTTATGATAGTAAACAAGCTTTAATTCGCCAGAGCCGAATATTCGAGGAATAGCATGGCAATGACTCTACTTAATTAGTTTAATGTACTTGCTTTTCTTTTTACAATATGGCAAGATCATATAAAAAATTGTAAAGCATTCTTCCAACGCCGGGCTGAATATCCCTCAATGTTTTTTAATGCAATATTCAGGAAAAGTTCAACTGATCGTGAGTACTTTAATTGCTTGAAACATTGTACTAGACATGGATTTAATCAATATTTATCATTACTATTACTGTTAATTTTTGTGTACCGGTAATAATATGATTAGTTTTAAATTTCAATGAATACCAACCACGTAAATAAGCCATCGATTTATGGTTGGTGCTAAGCCTGGCCAGCAGTTTTAAATTACCGGTAATAGGGCTTAAGTTTTGGTGCATCGATTCAACCAAAAATTGACAATATTTTTAATTTATGGAATGATGATCTATAAAAGAGATTATAAATGAAATCTAAACCATTACGAGATGTATTTTTAAATCAAGCTTTGTCATTTTTAAAAGTAATGATATATATTACACATATACAGTAAATGATTGGCTTATAGATCTGTAAACTCTTCCTTGTTAATGTATGAAACTCCACTTTGATAAGAAAAATTAGAATTGTAACATCTTGGCAAACATTCCTTGAACGATCATTCATATTTCGGACTCTTTTGCCATTTGATAATAAATCATTTATTCCTAAGATGATTAGTGTGATATTTATCCTCGTTGTCGATCTATTTTTGCGCGCTGTCTCCGTATTTTCTATCAGATTGTTTATAAAGTATGTGCAATCTGCTATTCAAATAAACGGTAAGTACGTACTATGAACGTTCTATGTTTATGCTTTGATTTTAATGATAGTAAAAATATACTTTTGGTGTAACAGCATGATAATGTCATCAATTCATTGTGACGATTAATGTAATTAGCAGTACTAGGAAAAGTGATGGATAAGGTTTCTATTTGGTCATGGATTACTCAAATAGCAATACTAGTAATAAATAATTTATTCCTGAAATGGATAGCGTGATATTTATTCTCGCTTTCGAACTGTTTTTGCGCGCTGGATTAGAGTTCTCGGTATTTTCTATCATCTCGTTAATGAAATATGTGCAATCGACTTTTGAAATAAGCCATCAATACGTACCATGAACGTTCTATATTTGTGCTCTGATTTTGATAATGGTAAAAATCATTTTAGGATAACAGCATGATAATATAACCAATTATTATTTTACCAATTAATTGTGTCTGTGTGTAATATGATTACTAGTGCTAGCTAGGAAGTGATGGTTAAGGTTTCTATTTGGGTATGGATTACACTAAAATTATTTTTTAAGTGGCCCATGATTCTATGGTTCGGGATTAGGGTTAGGTTTTAAATTAAATACTCGTAAGACAGATCTTTGGAAATGAGCTGATTTATCGATATGTCATGGAATACTAGTAGGGTAATATCATCTGAAGCTCCTGTATTCGAGTATTTCTAATTGCCTATCTACTACCGTACTTAGTAGAGGCTATAAAGGGGATAAATCGAGCCTATCTATGTGCTAGTCAAGCTGTAAGCGAGTTACCATAAGTTAATGTGTACGTCATGATAGCAGCTTTCATAATTCGTACTGCACAATCTATGTAATCCGATTCGAAATCATAAATTTCATAGCAAGCCATTTTATTTCATTGCGATCGACGTAAATTATTATCGACATCGGGGATGAAATAGGATCATCAAACATAATCTAGCATAAGTCGAAATGATGGCTAAACAGGCCATGATGCCAATGTAGAATATAGGCCGTAAGCAACGTTTTAAGTCATCGGATATACGTTTCAAAAGATGTTTATTGCCGCAATGAACATTTTGAACGTTTTTATTTACGTTAAGTTGTTAGTAGTAAATTTGAATTGGGCGACCCGTTGCGCATATTAGATATAAATGATCAGGAAAATAAATAATGCATAATGTTTCATTGCTGATGGTGGCAAGAATTTTCGAATCAATATCAACCAGTTAGAGAATTTCATGATGGCGTATTTTTATTACAGAATAGAGGCTACAGAGTTTCAACACCTTCATAACTAACTTAAACTATAAGCAAAGGCGACGGACTGTGTCGTCTATAACCTTGGCTTGTTTTGAAACACAAGTAATTGATTATCATTATAGGCAATCAAGCATTCGTTAAGGCCAATTAACAAGTTACACTACAACACTGTAAATGTAAATACTTATAGATATTTACTGATTCCATTTTCACTAGTTCATTAAGCTTCAGTAATAATATAATCGAGCGAAAGCAAAAGTACGTATGCGTACAGAACTCAATTCAAAACTACGCTTACAAATTAAATAGTGCAAACACGATTGTATATAGACGTTGGATACTAACTCAGATGCAAGTCATATTATAGGTAGGGTAAAAAAACTGAACGAATGATATCAAACGTAAACTGCGAGTAATTTGGCCATAACAATCCTTTCAAAAGCGCTAGGATGCTATTGATCTTTAGTTAGACTCGGTTCGGCGGATGCAGAAGCTGTACTTTCTGTAGGATTTTCATTTATACCAATATTATTATCCATGATGGACTCTTTACCTTCATATTGGCTATAAGCTTTTAGATCGGTTTCAAATTGTTCCACTTGATTTTCATGTACATTGATGTAATCCTCCGTAGTCTGCTGATTGCCATCTGCATCAATCAATGTTGTTAGCGTATGCTTTCGATCGCCAATACTTCTTGTGACAGTCACTTTCTTCTCTCCGTTACTTTTTGTGATGGTCGATTTATGATAGGTGTATCTCGCCTTGTCAATATTCTGATTTGCTTGTTTTGAAGAAGAATTATCCTCTTGCATTTTCCCCTCGCTCTCTTGGGGAAATGCGCGATTGTACATAGCGTTTCTTAATTTTAGATGGTGTTGAAACATGCTTTGAGGCGATAGTTCATCTAATGCTTCTTCAACAAATCTTAATGGCCATGCTGGCATGGAGCCAAACCATGGAGAGAACGGCTTACACCTTGCAATGGATGTTTTATAGTATACATCATTATCATCCCGGTTATTCTGACTGGAACTATTTTCAGACTGCTTTGTCGTTGTTTTGCCACTTAAATTCTTGGCTTGAGCTTGATTTTCATCGTGAGACGGTTGATTTTGTTCCGCGGAAGCATGGCTTGATTCATCTTTCGTTTTACATTGTGATTTGTGTCCACTTTCCTCTTTCCCATGTGATTTTCGATCAGTCGTTTTAACTTCCCTTAATTTTTCCAAGTGGTTGATGAGCGGATTGAAGAAGCATGCCTCCGATAGAAAGGGGGGTCTAGCCAGTCTTCTCAAATGCCTATCAACAATGTAGAAGTCCATATAGAAAAAAATAAATAAAAAAAAAACATCATGATCGAACTTTCCTTCAATTTACCAGATACCCTTCTAAAACAATATGCATGAAACAGAATTTTATAACAATAATTCTGCAGAATTTCTGCTACAGTACTGCTGAGCGATCGATATAAATGTAAATAAAAAAAAAAATCATCATTTTAATTCATTCCCAAACATCAAGTAAAAACACGCCGTCGCTATTGCATCATTGCTGATCAACATCATGACGGCTTCAATATCGATCAATGAGGTCGATTTTTCTTAGCAATGAGACATGACTAAAGCATCGGCTACCATCGTTCAGCAAACAAGGATATTGGATCTATCTACATGTGCAACTATACTACCATGGCAAGTGGCTGGCGGAGGCCCAGCTATCCAGGACGATTGCTCGCGGAGATTGATGCACCGCATAAGTCACCGTTCTCTGTACTACCGCACGGATGGACATTTTCCCAGCAGATCCAATTGGCAATTCTTCCAACAACTTATTTTTTTCAACGCTAAAGCAGTTGCAATGTGGCTTGCCCTAATTAATGGAACAACTGAAAGAATTGAAGCTCTTTTCCAACTTGGACAGAAAATGATATTTATATCCAGATACCGGTATCTATATATATGGGGCGGAGGACCGCTGCCGAACTGCTTGTTTACCTATGAAGATTTTGCCCGAGTTTTCTGGCTTTTTCTACGGTATCGCCTTACCGTACGCACAGTACTTTGCATTGTCATCATGCATTGTAACATGCGCCGTCATGCTTTTCATACTAACTAGTACTAAGTTTTATTTATAACTATTACGAAGTTTCTATACTAACTAGTACTAAGTTTAATTTATAACTAATACCAAGTTTTTATACTAACTAGTACTACGTTTTATTTCTAACTAACTATTACTAAGTTTCTACACTAACTAGTACTAAGTTTCATTTATAACTAATACCAAGTTTTCATACTAACTAGTACTAAGTTTTATTTATAACTAGTACTAAGTTTTATTTATAACTAGTACTAAGTTTTCATACGAACTAGTACTAAGTTCTATGTATAACTAGTACTAAATTTTCATACTAACTGGTACTAAGTTTTATTTATAGCTAGTACCAAGTTTTCATACTAACTAGCTGCCATAGCCTGGCATGGCCTCTTGCAGTACTTTACACTGTACTTTACAGTACTTTTGCAATGCCATCGTACCATACCTACTGTACATTCGTCAGCAAAATTGCCGCATCACTTTCTATCCAACGACACGAATAACACTTTCCGTTCTATAGTACAGTATATCCAATTGCAGACTCCAATTTGGTTGGCAGATCGGACAGCGAAGGATCGTGATGATGTAATATTGCCAGCAATTTTTGCAGGCAGGAGGTGGGTTGGCTCGAGCATTTGCATATCCACAATTCATGGTCAATACTATCAATCAAGGATAGTAATACCAATAGAAAATCAATGACGAACATCCATTGATTGACTTTAAACAGCCTAAACTGTAAATAATTTGCAAGTGGAGGCTGCAAAGTAAGAGCAAAGGTCCTCCGATTCCTTCTGTCATTGTGGTGGTGTGTCAATAGTGTACAGTCGACTTTTGAATGGTGCAACGGGAAGAGCATTTGCATCTCGAAAATTAGAGAATTGTAGAAGATTAATCAATGACTAAACTAAAATGAATTCATTGAACCTAAACGGTCTCAATTGTATCAATACTTTGCAAATGTAGAGTCAAAAGTAAGAGCAAAGGCCCTCCTATTTATTCGTTCATCGTGGTAGTGTGTCTATAGTGCACACTTGACTTTTGAACGGTGCAACGGGAAGAGCATTTGCATCTCGAGAATTGTAGAAGATCAATCAATGACTAAAATAAAATGAACTCATTGACCCTAACCGGTCTCAACTGTATCAATACTTTGCAAATGTAGAGTCTAAAGTAAGAGCAAAGGCCCGCCCTCCTATTTATTCTTTCATCGTGGTGGTATGTCATGAACGCCCTAAACTGTACATTATACAATAAATACTTTGCATAAGTAGTGTGCAAAGTAAAAGCAAAGGCCCTCCCATTATTTTTTTCCCATCGTAGCGGTGTGTCAATAGTGCACAGTTGACTTCTTAGCGGCCAACATTTGCTGTAGGTTAGCTGTAAAACGAGCTGGTCTTGTAAGGCAGAAGGATAACTTTTGCTCGATTACACCGCCATGAAGTGATCGATCGATTTGGATTGAAAATTATGCATCGTTTAGTTAATGATGTAATATTGCTTAATCAAATTTTCAGTTTCTTTTTTTATTTGCTTTCATTGCGATAAGATTACAGCCAAGATGAGTTGTTCCTGACATGAAATGATAAACCATCTCATTTATGGCCATGTGTGGAATTGAAAATGGAATAGTATTTTGTAGCAGACTAATCGCTTTTTCGTGGTCACATTACGAAGAAATGGCCACTATAGGATCTTAATCTGGAGCGCTGTGTGATAATAATTGCACTCTCAGAGTAGACCCATCTTGACGTTGTGGAATACTTGTAGATGATGCAATCATGCAGAAAATTGCATCTTTTTTTTCTATACGTTACAGTATGTCAAAATCGTTGGTCCATCTATTGGACTAGTGTATTTTTTCTTGAGCTCAGGTGATTGAGTTTAGAGTCAAATTCTTGCTTGTAATAACCGGCATGAAAATTACGTAAGTCATTTTGTACTGCTGTGCTTCTAAACTGTTGGATGGATTGATAGAATGATTAGGTTGCCGGGATCTATAAACAATCTGTGGCCGACTTATCACTATACCATTAAAATGTACATTTTTAATGATATATCCATTGGATAGATAGTAAAGACTAATTTACTGACGATTTAACGTTGGGGATCGAATTCAACAATTCTTCAAACACGTCAGGTATTACTCCTAACATCATCCAAGTGGCAGAGAACTAAACTGTAACGATACCCTTTCCCGAGAGCAAGCTACTAACATCCCAAACAACCAATATGGAGTTTCACGTATTCTGATTTTACGAATTTAACTTAACAGATTACTTGTTTTGGATCACTATAATCTAGAAACCAAGTCGGCATATCATGTCGGTATAGAAATCATACAAGAGAAATGAATTGAGATGGAAAAGATACCATGGTTAGGAACTACAATAAAAAAATTGGTACCTTTCCCTCCCCACTCTTCCACTTTATGAAGGAGACAAAATTGATGTTGTAATCCTTGCTATAGCTTAGCGGCAAGATCATCTGATGACGAGGATGATTAGAGAGAACTTGAGAAATAGATGAACAGTAATATCCGACTCCCTGTAGTTTTGATGAGTCCGGTAAAGCTAACGCTTTCAATCTCAACCCTATCGTCCTTCCTGTACGGATATGCTGTTGAGTAAAACTAATGGTTAATAATACCCTAATACCCAGAATAAAATCACAGGCCAAGAATTCTTGGCAAGTGATATATAAAATATCAAAAGAATGTATGAGAGCACATAAATTATCTACGATATAAGTTTTAACCTTTACCTGTCATAAATAGGAGTCTTACATAGTAAATCAATTACGAAATTTCGACTGTGTAAAAATAACTCCTACAATATTTAATACTTCTAAATTTCCCCCAATTTACGCTTACTTTGATGTATCACTGGATATAGAGGAGGTTGGCTAATGATGTTTCACCAACATCATTCAAATGACATGCTAATAATCATTCTAAGTATTTTCCAATAAAATATTGAAATGCCCTCGCTATAGCTAGTAATGTACCACTTTACGATATATAATATTACTTACTTATTTTTATTTAATAATTTGCACCGTGGAAATCCATACATCTAATCTACTTCAATAGTGGATGGATCATTCATTCATTCAGTATTGCCTTGGTCATCATTATAGCCGTCGATCTTAAGCAGATTTTAGCGCTTGTTGCCGCTATTCGTCTGAAATTAATAATTAGAAATAAAAACTTCTTCGCCCGCCTATTCTTTCTTCTCTCTACTCTGTCTCAGCTGCAACACTTTGTTGTTTAAACCTATTCTTACGCGATTTGCGATTCATTCACTGTCAATCATAAAATGCAAGTGCAGCTGTCTGTTAATTGCCAAATCATGTATCCTTGATACGTAAATTTTTACGTGTTGAATATATCGGACTTTTGTTGTTAGGCAAGTACGTGGGTCATAACTTTTAAAGCAGCAACATCGAGACAATAACGGAGTCTAGAATAGATCGTATGCAAGTTATAGCACTTATAGTAGGCAAATTTCCTTGATTTCACAGTCAATGTCATAAAATTGTTTGGAGTTACGTGAAAATTAATAGAAATAAACGCAATAAGCAGAATCCTGAATTGTCAAATTTCTTTAAATATCGACTAATTTTAACAAATACAATTTTACGTTGGAAAAATATTACAATTTAATGATATGCAAATTTATTTGTCCTCATCTAAACAGTCGCCTAGAAATGGATCCATCATCATGGCCACTATACAAATTAATCCAAGATCAGCGTCTATTATATCATAACAGGAAGAGTAAATTAAACTTTCAACAATAGATGATTGACAATTCCATAAAGGCTAGTATGTTGTATTACCTTCAACATCGATATCAATAGGGATAATTATGTCGATCCCAGAGTTTCAATGTTTTTTTGATTCCTTTGATTTACTTAGAGGGTATAGTTGCTGAAATTAAATATAGCTGACCGTAGCTAATTGAATTTTCTATTTAGACTTCTGCTTTGTTATTTTAAATAATTTATAACGGGTATTTTTGTTCAATGGGTCCGGCTGATCAGAAATTAATGTCACTATCATTTCTTAGTAATTGATACTGATGTCTTAGTGACGTATTGTACTCCAAAGTGTTAACAGGAAATAGATTACGCTAAAATACAATATCGATCATAATTATTCAAAAGTCCTAAATTCTAATTCAGTTATTGATAGATTACGGACGTTAAACAATTATCGGCCTATTAAAAGTGTACCTACATATTATGTACTTCATCTTAGAATCTGAATTTGGCGGTAGGGAACATTTGAATTTGTTAGCTATAAGTCATGAAACTAGAGGCACAATATTATATTAGCAAATTAATGTCATATTCTACCTAAATTCAAGTCTGTTCGATTTTAATTCATAACATTTCTAATGACACTATCGTTAAATGAAATTATGAACATCGAAAGAAGCAAAAGTTCTCTTAAACAAAGATCTAACTTGTGACTTATTGCCTTTGGGATATCATGTAAAAGATCTCTTCTTATTTTTCCAAAGTCATATATCAGTCAAGTAGCTGTACATTATAATATATCGAAGCTGTTGATCAAATAAATATTACCATACTAACTCTAATTATATTCGAATATAATGAAAGCTTCAAATTTGAAGCTCTGTAGGCATATATTAAATATTTAGCATGCATACCCGTAAGTGGATGACTTGTATTATTTCACGGCATAATAATAATGTCGTATTAATATTAGCCAGCTTGCTAACTAAAAAAAAATCATCTTAATCAATTATAAGCCAAATCATACCAATAGATACTAGCTAAATATTATATTAATGTGTTAGGCTTGTGTCTACTTTGACATGGATAAGCAATTTAAAGGACTATTTTAATATCTTCATAACGGAAGTAAGCTACATCCGATGACCACTACGCTTTTTAGTAAAACATTTTACTAACCGACATAATTTGTGATATTGAAAACATACGCAAATAATATCCTACATTCCAATTGCTAGCTTAATTGCTATTCAAAACCTTATCAGTAGACAGTATCAAGGCTATTTTAGGCTAGAATAGCTATGGCAATAAATATTTTAGGGCTTAGTATCTGAAAGTTAAAGTACTTAGCTTAGGAAGTGTAACACTGCAAGCAAATTACTTAAGTCTACGGTCTGCAAATTGCGATCTATTATGGAGCCTAAATCCTGGAATTGAGCTTTTATGCTTCAACGCTTCAGAAAAAAATATATTGGAAAACTTATTAACAAAGAAATAATTTCTTTCATAGTTATTAAACTTCTAGACTTTTTTGCCTATAGTCAAAGTAAACAAGCAACAAAACTTAAAATCAGATTCAACGATGCTAATCTTCCATTCTAATGAATAAAATGTTCTCGAGAAGTTGATAGAATAATAAAATATAGACTGTAATAATGCATTATTTAAAAAGTTAATGTGAGTGGCTACACTAGAATTTTACTATAATAACCAGCAAAATAGATTGATATTATTATTAAGTGCTAATAAATTCAAATCTCTGCCACAAAATTTAGATATTTACCTATATCATAATGTCTTAAAAATTAGTAATTCATAAACTTACCTCACTAAATTGTTTTAATAGGACACGCTAATGATACTAAAGGTTAATCATGCGTAAATTAAAACGATGTTATTTCTCTTTAATTAATAGTTACCTACGCAAAGGATATATAAACCAAAACTCTTAGTAATGATTAAGTTTGCATTTTGCTACTAATTCGATAGTATTTTTTCTTGTGTTATCGCATGAATTAGCTGACCAAACGAACTAGCTAACCTTGGATAAACTGAAAATTTATAAAACATATGCATATAATCAATTCAGTAGTATAGCCAGCTTACTTGGCCAAATAACTTCTTTTCAATTTTTTCTTAATTTCTTGTCCCGTAGCATTCAATTTCAAGTACAATTTTTACTCAGTTGCCGACATAACATATTCGCCTTACTGCAAGCGGGAAAAGCCAGAATAGAATACAGGTAGGTGATAAGTGATTAACACTAAATTGTTTGATTATGCTAATACGATTAATTTTCAAAATATGTTTATACAATATATTTTTGCTTAATAAATTAAATAGAAATTTGTAGTGCAAATGGATGTTTGGCAATAATATCGATCATTTACAGCCAGAATAAAATATAAAACTTACCTAAATGATATCTTCCTGATTTTGAGCGAGATCAGACAGTACAGAATGACAGTTGAAATTTTTCACCTTTATTACCAACACTGATAATAGCATAACTTCGTAGCACTGACTGAATGAAAAACACTACGAGCAGTATTAAAGCTATTTTCATGATATTACAGAAATAAGTAGAGAAGAGATTGAGAATTTTTCTTTATTACAGTCCTTTTCATAATCCATAGTCACATAAAATGAAATTAAAACAGGGACAAATACGACGATAAAATATACAACATCTGTAATTGTACCATCGTTGATAAGTTACATTTGCCTGTTAAATGTCTTACCGCGGATCAATACATTCATATCGCTAAGTGCTCGTAAAGTTGTCGCACTGTTTAAACTATAACTGAACCAAATGAATAAGGCCAAAGATAAACTGCGAAAGAGTTATCCATTTCATGATACACTGTTGCTTATTGCGAAATTATCAGATCAAGTAGATTTTAGTAAGTAAGCCATGTCATGAGTGAAATTTGGAGATGACGACTTACTGTACATGTACATTGCTCATCACATTCGCAATAAGAAAGAAATATAAAATTTCAAATTTGGAAGATTAGGAGATTGAATAAACATATTTGCGAGGTCTGCAATGTATTTACAGGTCTTACATTAATTTAATACCCAAAAATACACGACTTTTAAAGTAGCATCATAAATAGAATAAGATAAAAATAACTTGGGCAGATTTTTTGCAAGTATTTTATACACCATTGAACTACGGCTGAAACGTTATCACGACATTTTGATAATGACATATTTTATTTATCGTACCTTAACTATTAAGACTAACTTAAATAGGTGCTTATGCCATCAAGTATTTTTTTGCTGTTATGATTTTATTTTAGTAAATTTTACCGTAAAATTGCCGTATTTTTTCTCTTTATCGTTGGCATAATTGATATAAAGATTTCTTGACCTACATATGGATTGGAAGGTGGCGTTTCAAATTTGAAGATGGATAGTATTACTTTTGCATAACTGTTGAGCACTGTATCCAGTATTTTGGCGTTACAATAAATTTCAATTTCTGTAGAAGTTCGAACATCACTGGTATTTTATCTTCACTTCGTTTTTCTTTCGGTATCTATTTGCTACTCTTTGATTTTAATACAACTACTGGTATTTAATGAGCTTTGATTTATATGTAGACTTTCATTAGGCGGATCATCTGTAGTTTCCTCTTCTGTCACCTCTTCGATTCGCTGTAAAGGATAAGAAGGTACCACAGGAAGCCAAGTCGATAAGGGTTTATAAAGTCTTGTGATCGTCACAGCTTGGTAGTCATCCTTTCTACCGCTATCACTGTAGCATTTATCCTCCGGATGACATGTCGAATCAATATCTTCGCTTTCAAGTTGATTTTGACCTTGAAGCAATAAATCGCTTTCTTGATGAGAATCTGCAGGCGTTGTTTGATGCTGATATTTGGATTTACAAATTTTTTGCCGATTTTTTTTCATCGTGCATTTTCTGGAATAAAATTGCATGGATTCTTCAAAGTCATTGGTTATTTTATTTAAGAACCACCCATCGGAAGCTATCACAGGATTGATGACTGTTTTTCTATAATACCTAAAAAATTGCATTACGTGAATCAGTCAAGTTGTAGACGCGTACAAGAAAAAGGAGACCTTAATGCAACAATCATCGCTTTCGAGAGAATCTATATCTAAATCGATATTGATATCACGGATTAAGGTACACTATCGTATGCAAGTCGATTTTACAAAAGTTAAATACATCATAATTTCAAGTAAGATTACACTTTACTGTATTCATATCACCTTGGCATTAACATATCAAAATAAGTCATTTATTTACTTTATTTCTATCCTGTTCCACTATCCAAGAAATGATCAAACTAGATGCATTTCGTATCGATGCTATGCATGATATGTGCTACTTATTGGTCAATTAAACAAACTATAGCATAAGTAAATTAAAACACAGCAGTCAATACTGTATTTGAACGTACCACCAAGGCAAATTCTTGCAAGTTGTCCACCTTTCCAAGATAACTTCACGCGGACAAAAAATGGTAAAAGCCATGCTGTATTTGATTTAATCTATTGCTGGAGATGCACCAGTACCTATCGACAGTAGCATAATTAATTACAATCTACGTGACTCTAAAATCCACTTCAACGATCAGCTACTACGATCAATAAGAATGCACTATCCAATTACTTTCCAATCAATCGGATGATTGCTTTCACTTCTCACTGGTCTCCTGCTCAAGATCAATCCCTAAACAACCGATTCAATTCGACGCTAGTTCTCAATTTTTAAAGCTATCTCCATTCGCTCCTTCTACTGGTTAGCGTATCCAAACAATAGCACCACTAGAATATGTTCAAGATTTATATATATATATATATACCGTGAGCAAGGTTTGTTTATCTAAACTATTCTATTCTTCCTTTCTGGTCTATTCCAGAATCTCAGTCAGACGCTATAGGACGCCTAGTAGTGAATAGGTTTGTATACTCTTGTTGACTACGTTAGAATAGTTTAAAAATTTTATTGTATTGGCCTTATTTCCTGCAATTGTCTTTCCTTCAAGTATAATTAGACCAATATACAAGACGTGCTGTTATGCACGTTTAGCAGGCGGGTAATGAGGTAGCAAGAGTGCCCAATCCATCCTATTTATTTACTTATCGAGTATAGAAATCGATTTTTCTCGATGCAAGTATAGGCGATGTGCTTTGCTAATATTAGACAAGCCATTTCAATATCGTGGCTGCAGGATGACCTTGGTGACGTCAGATTGGGTGAAACCACTATGTACCGTATAGAGTGGTTTTGCCATTAGAAATTGAAAATTTTGAGCACTAAGTTTAGCTTGGTATTTTTTACTATATCAGTAGACTACAGCAACATGATTCATTCCTACTTAGATTCAACTGTGGCATGATAATGTGCTTGCAATGATAGTTAATCTCTGCTTGAGCTAGCAGTATACTGTATCCATGTCAATAATTTCTAGTCGTTTAGATAACATTAGAATTGGATAGATAATAACTCTTATCAATTCATTTGAAGTTATAGTATCTTGTAGAAGGATGTTTATTCAGAAAGCAAAAGCCAGCCTGCAATTAATTCGATGTTTAGTTACTACATACCCAAAATAATGTAGTAATAAATCGATATTGTATACGTCTTAATACAGAGAAATTGAATGGTGCTATTCAAGGTCAACTGAACAGTATCCTTAAATAAACCGGTGACATTTTTGCCAAATACATTTAGCAACAATAGCACGATGACGACTAATCTAAGGAATTAAACAATAGTAAAGTCTATATAATCGTAAGGTAGGTTTCCACGAGACAATGTATTTATGAAAAACACAACGATTATAATTATCCCCCAGTCACGTAGAACTGATCATTTTCATGATAAATATAGTATTTTAAGGTATCTTTAGAACGTCAAAAATTGGCTTTACAATTGTGAAAAATGTGTGCATTGAAGAAATTAAATTTAGACATAGTACTGGTACTCATCGAAATTTGTTGCCCTTTACTGAAATAACACTATCAAAGTACAGTGAGCAAGAAAGAGATCACCGCATGGTTAGTATTACCGTTCAAGTCAAATTCTTATTTATTGAGTAATTAATTGCTTAAGTAGAAATAGCTGTTCTTGTTGTACATAGGTACGGTGCGGGAATGCACCGAAGCAAGGCACTCTACTGTAAATCACCAATTCATCATTATATTTATAGAGTAATGAAAGCTTCTACGCGATAGTAGATAGATATTTATGTGTGTAGTGTTGCAGTTCCTTCAATAAATTTATCATTTTCATGAGTAGTAAGTAACCTTACTGCCACAGTGAACTGCTAGTTCTTCATTAACAGTCCAATTCACTTTACGAAGTATTGAAAATCAAAATTTCATTTAGTTTCAGAATAGAATGCTTTTAATATTAATTAGTATTAAAGCATTCTATTCTGAAACTAAATGAAATTTTGGATCTAAGTAACAGTTATATTATATATCACACGTTGAATAATGGTTATCAACGGGCTGGGAAATAGCCAATCACAATCTTTAGTCTCATTGGAAACGCTATATTTATTCCTGCTGATAATTTCAAAGAGAGTTGGAAACATCTTCGTGCTATCGATACTCACAGCAGTCCCGGTACTTAGCATTGGATCCTTGATTTTCAATACTTCGTAAAGACCAGTAGAAAATTTATCCTATCTAACCATCTTTTATTTACTACTAGATATTAAAATATTTTATTGTTGCAAATTTAAATTTTACTCCGTGAACCTTAGAACGAAAAACATAATAAAACTCGTAGATTAGCTGCTATCGGAATATCTTCGTATCGAAACCACTTCAGAGATCTATTTATGAAGAACACATTAACAAGTCAAATGCTTAAGTTACAGCAACTATAAATAACGTTTGTAATCGTACGATAGTCTAAATTAAAGGAATTCAATCCTTACTTTCCAGCACAAATTGCAAGCTATAATTACGGCGAATTAATAATTAACATTTTACATTTTACACCGATAGCCTTTTACAGAACAGTAAATCAATTACTGGAAATAATATTCCAATAATTTACGCCGTACAATAGAAGCGTGAAGTAAAAACAAAGCTGAATACAATAAGTAGAATAATACAAATTAATTAAACTAGTGAACTGTTAATTAATTAAAGGAGGTTGCTGATAATAGAAACTTCTAATGCATGAACTTACGCAGAAATTACTAGAGCAAGGCAACAGTTTATAGATTTTACTAAGTAATTGGCTTTGGTTGCTCCTGTTTTTCAGCTGCATCCAATGAGCGACCTGTCGGATTTTTAAATAAGTCATGCCACTGATCCGGTTTGTTAAAAACTTTCAAATTTTCGTGAAAATCTTAAATGTTATCCGTATCGACATTAACATAGTTCTCCAATTGGTGCTCATTACCATCGGCATCCATAATGGATGTAACAATATGTTTTTGATCACCGATACTACGAGTAATAGTCACCTTGTGTTCACCATCCTCAGAAATGATCGTTGATTTATTGTAGCTATAACTTTTTCCTCCATTCACTCTAGTTTGTGAAGTAGATTGATAGCTCGAGGATTTCTGATGGTGTTGATGTGGTATAGTTCCATGCTCGCTCAGGTAGGGATTTTGAGAGTCGTGCATAGCGTCGACTGTCAGATCGTCCATTGCTGCTTCTAATTCTTCTAGCGGATTTTGTCCGAAAAAGTGCAAATATCCTGGTACTGGACGGTAGAATCGTGATTGGCTGCGACGTTCTTCATGTCCAGGTCTGACGGCATGGTGTCCATGTAATGCCTGGTTTGCATGTCCATCTTGCTCTTTGCTTTCTTTTTGATCATTATTTACTTGATTACTAGCATTTTTATCCGTAGTAGCAGACCCAGGAGCATTCTTGTTACGGTGTTCATGCCTGCATCTTTCGCTAGGTAGCATTGGCCGAAAAACAAAGCAATCGCCAAATGCGTCCATTTCAACTTCTGGCATGTCATGGTATGGCCAGTAAGAAGGATATAAACTTCTTCTGTATGGCCTAGAATCAGCACATAATTTAAATATTTTACTTCTTGTAAAATAGACCAAATAAAAGTTATCCAAGATATGGAGATATAACCGATAAAGAAAATAAGAGTATAAATTCTCTTCAATTGATAACGTGCAGAGTGGTCAATACTACGTTTAAAATTAGATATAGTTTTACTTATTGTTTGATCAATAAAAAATTTTAAAATTTATAGCAGCATCTTTTCTAGAAATTTTAAATCTGCGCAGTATACTGTACTAATTATAATCGCAATTTTCAATATTTATTCGACAATTTCTTAAGGAATACAAGTAGTACAGTAGGTAGATGCACATCCATACTCATACAGTACAGCCAATATCCAGTAAATGGGTCTATTAAGTTACAGTAAGTAATCATAAGTAGTAACAAAACACTTACTAGTCGTAGGCTACACCATTCTGCATTTAAAATGTAGAATTAAATCATTGAACGCCTATATCAAATTGCTCAATCTTAAGTTACCATTTCCATCGTTTCTCAATAATATTCTACTTACCACCTAGGTGGCTGGTCGAAGAAATTTCTCCTACCGGATCGTAGTCCTTTAGGATACCAGGGTGAAAATGACATTCTGTTGATGGAATTGAGCAATTTCAGTCTCTAATAGTATCGATGAGTGCTGACTATTTATGTACCCAAAGCGTAGAAACAAATCTGGAAACTGATTTATCAACAAGCTAAAGGCAAACGGTGCAATTGGAAGAAACTGATCTATGCCATCGACAGCATCATCAAGTTCCCAGGCCGGCCACTTATATATCTTTGCCACCATGAATTTCTAGTTCATTCTAGTTCTCCTTGGTCTCGTAGACTATCCTATTGTTGCACTTACCTCTGTTGTGTATATCCATTAGCTTCGCTATTATTCAATGGATTTATTTACAATTTTTGACTAGGAATAATATTCTAAATCTTTTCTTCATGATGATAATCAATGGTCCGATATTGTAAATAGTGTATAACTACTGTACACAGTGTAACAACGTTATCCAAGGTTTAAGAGTTGATTTATGCTGTGATCATTGATCTGGTGCACTAGTTACTGAAAGTTTGCTTGTATATTAAGCGCCTTAATTAATAATGAGATCGACTTGAGTTGTAAACAAATAGTAAATGAATTAAAGATGACAACTTTTAGATTCTAAATATCGACATTATGCACTACACTTAACCTACAGCTATTTTACTGGCTGACTATGAAAGAAGCATTGAGAAACTACTGCTTCTGTTATCAAGCGGCCAGCAGAGTACTAAGAAATTACAGCATTACTTAATCAAGTGTTTCTTTGCTGAAGTCTATTGATGTTTTTTTGCCTTTTCCAGAACTTGATCCTAGCCGCTAGAATGGATGGCTTTACTGTAAAAATGCATCCGAAAAGGATTGCCTCAACTATAAATCAAGGCGCCGAGTAGTAAGGAACTGTTTATTCGTTTTGGTATGGATGCACTAACGTCCAGTAAACAGAAGGTTCTACGAATTGTTAACAACTCCAATCAACTTCTAGCAGTTCAATACTGACTGGCTTTCAAAACGCTACTTGAAAAGCTTTTAAAGTCCTGTAAAGCAATGTGTTAAGTAATAACAGACTGTTTATTAGTTGACTTAGTTATTTACCAACACCTACGGGAAGTACCTTATTATGCACCATTCTGGAAGTTTCGGGTAGTTCTAAATAACTTTGCTAATGTTAATTTCTTCTCAACTGTCAAAATGGCAATCCGTCCCCTACTGTGCAAATATCAAGGAAGCGTGAAATAGCAGTAATTTAGGAATCCTTAATGATGTCACTATAGTACGGCATCCATATTTGAAGAGTATTTGCAACGCTGCAGTAGACTACGTCTTCGGAAGCAAGCTCACCACTGCATCGCATAGTGCTTCAATAGCATACCCAGTCAAGTTTTTCGATGTTTCTGCCTTACCGAACGAGATATTGCTCTAATTGATTTTAACTGAGTTGAGAGTATTAGCAAATCAATTATGCAACGCTTTAGACCATCCAATACCAAAGTCTCATTTCATAAGGCAGACATCAAAAAATATTTGATGGAAGCGCCTGTCTAATACACATTGCAGAACTCGTCAAAGTCTACCGTTTTACTAATTTAAAATAGACGCCTAGAATCACCGAGTTTTCACGTCGAAAATGGTGTGCCTAGTCGTGTAATATCCTACAGAAATTTGCATTGACTTGTACAGTATAAATAAGGCATTTTATTGATTTGATGAATTTGGTAATTTACGTAACCTATTAATTACCCGTTACTTGAAGTTGTGAGCTTAATTTAAAGCAGTAGTTGCATCCATTTGATCGACAATCAAATCCCTGATAGACAAATGAAAGTCTTGCTTTGAGATTAACTCCAGGACACTTAAAGGGATAAACGAGATGAGACTACTATCAGCAGACCTTCACGTATTTTACTTGAAATTTCTAGAATGAAGAGATACTTTATGATATATTCACTCTTGTTTTTCTTAATTTAGAATTTATTTTGCTTCTGTTCAAGTATACGTAATATAGCTATTGTTAGTTGCAATGGAAATGCATTTGATCCGCAGTTTTATATTAAAATATAAATCCTAAACTAAACACTGTCATAATGCTTGGATCAAGTGCGTTTTAGTCAACATTTGTAAGATTTACTGCAATAAAAGCTATTTATCTACTGCTGAAATACGTAGAAGAAAAGTTTTATCCACTATGGATTTTCGAAAGAAACCTATAAATACTTCAAATTAAAGAGACTACCCATACTTGAAATTTATGGCATATTTTTACAATGAATAAAAAGAAATGACCTAAGGTAACAGGAACTGTGAGATAATAGTATGATTTGTTCCGTTTGAAAGTCAAAAACATTGTCTGCATATTTGCACTTGCTATCTATCATACTATTTTAAGGAATGTAAAGCTAAAATTTCTGTAATAATTGAATTATAGAGTTTTTATTATCTGTTTGGATTTGATTGATTAAAAATAATCATCTAACCGTAAAAGGTTATTCCAACTTTTAATCATTAATCCTGTACAGTATATACGGACTTAAGAAGCAATGGGGTTGAAAGATTACAGTTACTGTATACTATATAATAGCTTGTTACCTCCAGTTGGTAGTAAGAAGAGAAAAGAAGATAAAAATTCGAGATAAATAGCAATCCCTTGCGGCAAGGTACGATTGAACCTGCTTGATCAATAGACAGTAATGAGTAGGAAAAGAGGTAATCTGGAAACATGTCGGCAATTCTTACACGTAGCTAAATCCACAATTTAAATGAGATTGTACATAGTGCGTAATAGCTATAGCCTGATGTTTATCCTGTTTTAAGGCTTGATTTCAATTGTCACAAACATCATAATTATTTACGGCAGTATTTGAAAAGATGTATATCATTAATATACGAGATTTCTATCTAGTAATTATGAATGCTGTAGACAGTTATAACTTTACTGTAGAGCGAAACCTTAATCTAGGTGAATTCAGAAAGATCTTCATTTTAATGTAAAAGTATTAGCGAAGTATTTCCAGGTAGTTGCAGCTAGCATTTTACAGATATAATAAATAACACATTCGCATGATTCTAATAAAAGAATTAGCTAGCTTATTATTAGAAGACAATCTTTGTTATAGATAAGTACGGTAGTGTTAATGATGTAACTTAAACGAATTAAATATTGCATCATTTGCTATCATATTCAATCAATTACCATGTTCGTATATGATGCAACCCGTGTTCTTAATTATTAAAAATACAGTCACGAACTATAACTAGTGTCTAACTATAAATAATAAACTCTCAAATTCAGCAATAAAGCCTTTATCTGTAGATTTATGATACAGCTATGATGGCAATATTATCTTCTTAGGGAAGCATGAGAATAAAAAGAGGTTTTCTCTTATCAGACCAAGCTGATTCTAAATCTCAAGAGAATCTTTCTACAACTCGAATCAATATTTTAAATAGAATTTTGTTATCTTATTATACGCAATTAAATCGAAATTTGTCAGCAAACGCATGTGTTACCGAGTAATTTTTCATAGTTGTCGTAACATAGGTTCTATAAGATAATCTTTCTAGGAACGTATCTACATACCGCTATCTATATCCTTTTACCTATTTTTAATAAATAACTGCATAGTTTTCTAATATTATCTATAATTACTATTTAAATCGATTGACTATAAATTAACTGACTTCCCAATAAAGTCTAACGATAGAAGATCGCCAGTATTTAGTGTCATACTGTAGGTTAATGTCAGGGAGGACAAACCAGACAGTAGACTCGTAGTATAATTTCCAAAGCATATTAAAGCAAGTTTAGAATTTCCTAACTGCCTAAGTATTTAACAAGGGTATACAAGTCCAGAGAGAGAAATACCATGCTGACTTCGAGTATACATGTAATAAGATCTCCCTACCAATGCCTTTATAACCCTTACCATTATAATATGGTAAGATGGTTTAAAGTAATCTGAATTATTATTTTGATATTTTAGCAATATCTGCAAGTCTTTTGCTTGCACTCGTTGTCGTGTAATTAAGGAAAGAATCATATTTTCAGTTAACATTACATCATATCCCACTGGCGATGCTCTAGCGCTAAGGTTTGCTAAATTATGCAAAATTTAGATTTTATTTCGTCAAATAAACATCAATTATTAAAAATGTTTTTCTTCCATGTTATTTATTTATGTCGTAGCAATTAATGTTGTAGATCAGTCATAGTATTATTTCGATTGTAATGGACTTCAGCCTATTTTTTGATTATAATTTACCCGAAATGAGCATCATTTTCTTTATAGACGTAGATCATTAACTCGAAAGATAGCAAATAACATAAAAGAGGTTACGGGAAATTGAGTAACGGCGATTATTATCAATGTAAGTGGGTGGATATTAATCATAAATTTGGTGCTTATGAAAATTTTATTATTAATCTGTGCATGGTCTGCAACATATCGACAATTGATCGTGTTTCATGTAGTGCCATAAGCTTCATATTTCACTTCTAAACTGTTTCTTTGTGTTCATTTGAAGTAAAATACAGCTTAACACAAGCACAGTAAAAACTCATTTTAGTAACCTGTAAAACTGTAGTAAGTCATAATAAATCTGAATTATATTTGCCAATCATATAATCATACAATCATATCGCTGTCAATCTATTCCATCAACATTATTGATAATCTTGATGGAATCGAATTATAATTAAATTTGACCCCCCCCCCCCCATTCTCACCTAGTTGTAGCTGGATGCCATCAAATAGTTGAGCAATCCGTGATTGTCTAGCTATCATGTAATCAAATACAGATCGTATTAAAATCGCTGCAAAGTTAAATTCACCTGCCAAGGAAAAGAGAGATATTGCTTTTTTGAATAACGGCAAAGTGAATAGGTGTAACATTGCTCACCGGTCCGGTAACAATCTAGCGTTTAGCGTTAATTTGCTACTTTATAGTGCAGTAGTACACTCACAAGCTGGAGAATAGAATAGAAAATCCTTTAAACCTTGCTGTGCAGGGTGATGCGAATATCTGGAAACGCTTTACACCTATATGGAGGCAAAACTGTCATTGCTATAGGTATGAAATTTCGTACTTAGAAAGTTTCAGATCAAGAAAATATATTCCAGTTGTAATTAATTATTGATCTACCATCGTCGGGAGTGAAGCTATTTCACTTGAAAGGTTAGATAAAATGACAAGAATCAGTAGTAGGAGAAAGATTTGTAGCAAAATTCCTCATTTTCTCGTCATAATAGTAATTGTAGTTGCAGTAAAGACAAGCTCATAGAAGATTGAACTAGTAAAATTGTATCGTCAGAAAATATGAAATATGCAGTGTGCCTTGCCGCCAGGTTAATTCTTATAACGAAAATACATGCTTAATCATAGAATTTATGCACTATTTCTATTCCTCCCGACGATAGGATATCATCACGATTTCAACACGTACAGTAGGTAAATATTTGGATGAAAAATCTGACATTAGACTCATTATTTTACTTTCCTGTAGTAGTTTAACTTTCCTCTTTCCAACTTTGGATATTTGGTAATCAACTGCATGAGCTAAACGAGTTCTTAGGATAATATTCTTATATTATATTATATTATATTATATTTAGTCCGGTGTCCAATGTCCACTTTCGTTGCTTTAATTAATTATTATTCATTAATAACACCAGTCACAGAAGCAATCCGTCCATTAATGTGATAGTGTTAATTTATTTCCAACAGGTGTCTCAGTTAGTACTTTGACTACTTTCATCTTATTGTAAGCCATGTTGCTGTATAGGGCGGCAACCATACTGGAGGAGGATCTCTAATCTTCCTCAAAGCAGTACAGCACCTGCACAGGAGAATCAAAGTTTCCTCCTTCCAACTGTGCCTTGAAGCTTTTAACCCAAGGTTAAACGGTGATCTTAATAAACCTTGCGATCAATCGCTCTCAATTCTATAGAGTTAATTAATATCTCGTTTCACAAAGTAAAAATAAAAAACATTTGGCCCAAGCACTCGTCTAAGCCGGCCGGCATCGAAGAACTCTTCAAAGTCTACTCTATTGGAAGAGTTAAAATTCACTAAACTTGGGCACAAAAATTGGTGTGCGTTCACTATAATCGGAGTGCTACTGAAATTTGCTTGGATAGTACAGGACGTATATATAAGGAACTAAGGTGCGGTATTTTATTCATTCGATGAATTTTAATTTTACTATGTAAACGGATTAATTGTCCCTATTTCAAGTGGTGAGCATAATTACATTTCCATCAGTAGCCGTATCCATTGGACCGGCAATCAAACTGTTGTTAAACAAGGATAAGGCTTGATTTGAGGTTCATTTCATTGCACTAAAAGGGATGAACCTTAGAACCCTTGTATTTTTGCTAGATTATCTTATTACAACCGTAAGCTAAGTCTAAAATAAAAGCAAACTTTACAGTTTGAACTAAACAGTTAACATCGTCAGGATGCTTGGATCAAGCTCATTTCAATTTCAATAGTCATTTGGTCAAATTTACATTTACTGCATGATGAATGTTAATTAAAAACACACGAAACTACTGTATGCGCGTATTTACTTTTATTTTTTTATCCATCTACACTATTAACAGAATTACTAGATATCATCGTCATGAAAGATTCAACCTTCGCCATCACCACTTGTAGTATTGCTGCCGCGATTGGTGTTTCCCTATTTTTCTTACGTCGATACTTTGCTGGTAGATATTGCAACAGTAAGGCGATGATGCATCAGAAAACTATCATCATCACCGGCTGCAATACTGGCGTCGGCAAGGAAACGGCAATCGATCTGGCAAAACGAGGAGCACGCGTTATCATGGCTTGTCGTGATGATCAGCGTGGATTACAAGCCGCTCAACAGGTTCGCCAGCAAAGTGGTAACAACAATGTTACCTACAAACACTTGGATCTTGCATCTTTTGCTTCTATTCGTCAATTTGCCAATGATATTATTGATAATGAGAAACAAATTTCTGTACTAATCAACAACGCAGCTGTAGCTCATTGCCCTTATAGCACAACACAAGAAGGATTTGAGATGCAATTTGGTGTAAATCATCTTGGCCACTTTTTACTAACCAACTTGTTATTAGACAAGCTAAAGGAATCTGCTCCCAGTCGAATCGTTATGTCTCCTCCGGTATATACAAATATGCAACGATTGATTTCGATGATTTGCATGGTGTTCGATATTACTCACCTCAAGTAGCCTATAAGCAAAGTAAATTAGCTAACCTTCTCTTTGCCCATGAGTTAAATAAGAAACTTCAAGGCTCTGGTGTCACAGTCAATTCTTTGCATCCTGGAGTAGTCAGAACTGATTTAGGAAGGCACTACGAATGGGCCAAGTCATATTGGGTTGTTCTATTAAGGCCTTTGCTGATGTTAATATTAAAAACGCCTTTGCAAGGTGCTCAGACATCTATTTACTGCGCTGTTGCAGAAGAATTGGAAGGTGTTTCTGGTCGTTATTACAGCGATTGCATGGAAAAGAAATTACTACCAAGGGCTAAAGACGATGAAGTTGCCAAGAAACTATGGGATATTAGCTGCAAACTTGTCAATCTAACAGAAAGTAAAAAGAAATAGCCCCTTTATTACTTTCCTACCTACAGTCAATTCTGCTAGTTTATATAGTCAGTACGACATCAATGACGATGCTAAGAGATGTATCTGGCTATTAGTTGTGCTTATAAATAAATAATATTCATTAAGCCATACTGTAATTTTAGAGTTCTCAATTTTAGTTAACTAGTTGAAACTGACTTGGTACAGTAGTTGCTCCAATCGACCGTAAACCATTCTTGTCGCAGCTTCCAGCAATAAAATAGCCACTGCTGTTATGTCTACTAAAGTAACTTAGAAATTATTTTCGACAGCTTTTTATACATTGCCAGTCTTCTCTAGAATCAGAGGTAGAGCTCCCTCTGATGTAAAAAGTAACTACTTACATGCATTTGAGCTAGGTTTGCCAGCAATGATAACTGTACTCGTGTATGAGTATATTACACCTGAAAGTTTACGCAGTGTAACTCATATATAAAAATTATACTGCTTAAATTTTCAATTATTTCATCTGAAGGCAAGTGGTCCTTATTGTAAGCGATTATCTAATCTCTATAGACAATTAACTAGGTCATTTACGCGTAAAACTTCAAAATTGCTGGGAAATTGAATGATATCCATGGAATGGATAATACTGGTAAAGATGATACTTGCATAATGAAAAATAAATCGTTTATTAAAGTGATTTCTCTTCATGTTATTACCAGTTAATTTGCAAGAATTATAGGTGAATAGAAGTAAATACTCTTTTGCAGTAATTATAAGATCATGTACAATGGAAAACAATCGATTACACAGATTTCTTTTCATTTTTTAGACCAGCTCATTTTACAGGAGTTGTAAGTTAGTACCAATAAATGTATATTTGGGTAATTATTACATCATGTATATTGGAAATGGAATCGTTATTAGTGACTCCGATTTCTTTACCTTTTTGACTAACTAATTTGTGAGAATTGTACATTACTGTCGTATCAATAAATGTTCTTCTTGGATAATTATAAGATCATGTACAGTGGAAAAGGAATCGTTATTAGTGACTTTGATGCCTTTTCATTTTTGACATGCTCATTCGCAAGGATTGTAAGTTAGTATCAATAAATGTTCTTTATGGGCAATTATTACATCATTGTCACAAAACAGCTTGTGTGATCGAACCTAAACTAGCCTATCTACTCTATTTAATGAATCACCGATTAACTACGGGATATACAGAAACTAACCTATCCAATAGTCGAGAATCGAAGCAGACGGCAGGGGTTTAGTCGTAATCAAGGAGCATCAAGCTCCATAACAATCCTGTACAATGGTAATAGAATCGTTATTAGTGACAGAGAATTCTTTCCATTTCGGACTAGCTAATTTGCAAGAATTATACATTAGTGTTACGGAGTTCGCTCCGCGTATTTGGTAAATATTTTGATTATAAGTAGAACCATATTTTGTTACAGATTGTTGTGCTGATGAGTTATATAGCGTACAGTAGTATCATTTAAGACTAGTAACATAAAAAGTAATTAACCACTAGCATTAATTGGACTATTCACTGAAGGACAGTCAAGGAATAAGTTAGTTTTCCATACTGGAGCTTCCAGTGTGAATTAGACTAGGAATCGTTGATAAAGCTACTTTGTGACGATTAGTATCGATAAGTGTTCTTTTTTTGGGGGGGGGGGGTAATGATTACATCATGAATAATGGAAATGGAATCGTTATTAGTGACAGAGAATTCTTTCCATTTCGGACTAGCTAATTTGCAAGAATTATACATTAGTGTTACGGAGTTCGCTCCGCGTATTTGATAAATATTTTGATTATAAGTAGAACCATATTTTGTTACAGATTGTTGTGCTGATGAGTTATATAGCGTACAGTAGTATCATTTAAGACTAATAGCATAAAAGTAATTAACCACTAGCATTAATTAGACTATTCACTGAAGGACAGTCAAGGAATAAGTTAGTTTTCCATCCTGGAGCTTTCCTAAGTTAGCTAGAAAGCCTTCTAGAGTGAATTAGTTTGAGAATCGTTGATAAAGCTACTTTGTGACCATTAGTATCAATAGTATCAATAAGTGTTCTTTTGGGGTAATGATTACATCATGGATAGTGGAAAAGGAATCATTAACAGTGATCGAGATTTCTTTTAATTTTTAACCAACTAATTTGCAAGAATTGTACAAGAATAAAAATAATTATTCTTTTGGGGTATTTATAACATCAGAAAAGCTATTGTTCATAATGCAAATCTGTAACGTGAGAAAATTAAACTAACTACTGGACTTATATTCATCTTGTATATGTCTCCTAATCATACTGTCGATTGCTGTTGACATCATTGCTGTTGATATATCTTGTTGCTTTTACCTTGGCTGCTGCTGACTGTGGAGTAATTATTACTTTACTAGCAAGAAATTATTTTCTACCCTTGTTTATAACTACTTCAGCTTACATCTTGATAGCAAAAAGCCAGTGGAAAAGCCGATGATTGATATCTAAATGCGATCAGATCTACATCCAATTGCGCCTTTATTTGCGCTCATGTTATATTCTATCGTGCCATCCACTACTCCTTGCATTGCCATTACATATCAAGTTTGATGAGAGTATTTATAAGAAATAAGGTGAATTTATCAAAGGACACGATGCAGGAGTAAACCCGATCACTTTATCTGTGTTCTAATTTAGGGATATTAACCTATTTTTGCTTTTCATGATTATACTGTCTGCAGTGGTATACGAACGCATTAAATAAATATGAAATAGCGAATGAATGTTCAATTTACTTTACACTGGATGATCGCTATCATTTCTCAAGAAGAAAAATGGTAAATATCATTGTCAGGAATGAACCTATTTAAAAGCAGATCGATAAACATATTGAAAGTGTTAACAATCGCTTTCTCTCGAAATAAAAATTGTTGTTGCAACTCCAAGTCGTCCCAAACCTATTACAATGAGCAAGCTAGAAAATAAATCGAACCAATTTTTTATTGCTTGTTATTTGGTTAGGATGCTATTAAAATTAGAAGAATGTTTCAAGTCATAAGCAGAGATCGGTACCAAAAATTTAACTAATGTTGATCGCTAGTCGAAAATTTTTCATATTTTTGCCTTTCCCTGCTGTATTTCAATTAGCAGCTAATGAATGATTGTCGTATTTACTTCTTTATAAAAACAAAAAACAATCGTTGCAGAATAGTAATAGATTGGATAAAATAGTCCCAGATACTCTTATAGCAAATATGACCAATTTGAAGACGATCAAGGACCGTAGAAATTCTTTAACTACAAAATAACTATCGTAGCAGCTAGGCTATGACAATGATGTAACACTAGTTGTCAATTTATCGTATCAATCATATCATTATGCTAACTGATACCTTAGGGAAGAAAGCGTGTAATTTAGATTGATATATGTAGCTATTTATTATTCTTATAGAGTCGATAGTCATGGCGCTCTCTTTCAATGAAATTTGCCTCTCCACATCATTATCATTGCCGAAGTATTTACATAGAATGATATCATGATTGTGATATTATGAATTCCAGATTACTCCTACTCTTCGCTTCGTTGATACCTTAGCGTGGTAAGTTGATTATCGTTGATCAATCACTTTAGCGACAGTAGCTATTACCCAACTGGCTTACCGGCCTAACAAAATGGACGCCAATGTTACTATCTTTAACTTTTGTTTAAGTTCAGTATTGACGAAAGCAAATAGCTCAGTTTCAGTATTGGCCCTAGCCAAAGCACACTAATCATAATAATAACATTGAAATACATTGTCTCCTACTTATGTAACCCAAGGTAGGAATTCAATCATTTTACAACCTGAGCAATGACGATAACTAACGTTAATCCAATTCTCCTTCCTAATTGTGGTGTAATATTGACACAAGTCATTGAATACTTATTTATTTACGATCCTGTCATCATTGATTACTATCTTTGATTAGCCATTTTATAGAATAGGTAATGATGTCATAATATATGGATGATGTCGGTGCTCGATAGAGCGCTGTAGACGCAAATTGAGTGCACCCAATGGAGATCAACACAAACTCATGGCTGAAAATAGCATCACTGTAGGGTTACCTAACCTTGATCTATCTTCTTTAATCCATATTTATGAAGCCATTATAGATAGACAATATTCAGTTGCCTCGCCAATTTAACACCCTAATGATGAGTGAGAATTCAACCTGAAACAAATTGCTATCCATTAGAGCAATGTAGGTAGGGGGTTGGGTGGAGTAGGCAACTAGAGAATGGACCATATTCTTAAAGGCAAATGATGACAAAATAGAATCATTAATGTTCTTTTTCCACCATTCAATGATTCCTGTGAAAGTGATTGAATAGATTCTATGGAAATACAAGTCTTCTTCCATTCGGCCATCTATAAACTTCATTGTCTCTATTACTACGTCGACATAACTATTGATGATTGATCTACCGCATCGTATTGATGATCAGTTACACCCACTGAATGTTTATTCCTATTTTTTTCCTTTAATACAAGATTTGCTTTGTTTTGTCTTGTTCTTATTATTCCTCAATTGGACAAGTACCAGTCTCCTTCATTCACATCATTTCTCTATAGGTTATATTACTATTCTCTTTCCTCTATGTATCCATTCGATAATTATTTCGTCTACATCGTGGAGCGAGGTGTGGTAGAATGCAATCCTGGAGAATAAAGGCTAGCCATTATCGTAGTCCATAGTATGACCGTAGCGATATAATTAGATAGCGCAATTTTAGTTATAAATTGGCTGATTGTTGATTAGTTAAACTAGATAAAAACTCCATCCATTGACTTCTTTCATTCATATCATCATTACTTGTGTTTGAATGAGTACTATCGTATTTTAGATATTCTCCTTTTTGATTGAATTTCGTTTCTGGTCAGTCCTTCATCGTTATCTATAGTTTCGTCGGATTGAATTTCATATCTTGAAATCATTTATACCACTGTAAATTCAATTCTTTCCATTGATTTCAATCCGTTGGTTTGGGTT